TGCTGACTAGACCTGTGACATCTCTGGTGACCGTAGCAAGCTGGCTGAGAGCCAAGAAAAACAGGACCACCTAGAGTAAAAACTTATCCTAAAATGGTCAAAAGTTAAAATGAGACGCCTAGGGGTGTGTCAAATAACCTGTATAAAGATTGCGGAAAACACAGAGACTTTAGAAAGAGGAGAGAAAGAGAAGGAGAAAGAGGGAAGCAAAGAAAGTAAAGGAATTGTCCAGGAGAGACCTCAGAATGTTCTGAGGTCTGCTCTGCTCTTTCTCGTCTTTATTATGGAGAATAAAGTCCATTTTCTGATATTCAAAACCTCTCGCCTAATAATTTCTAATTGATAAGAAGTTGGAATACGACACTGGTTTGAGCCCAGGCTGGATCAGTTGCCATTTCTGTGTGGAGTTTGAATGTTCCCCCCTTGTTGGTGTGGGTTTCCTCCGGTTGCTCCGATTTCTCTCACAGTCCAAAGACATGCACTAGGTGAATTGGGTAAACAAAATTGGCTGTAGTGCATGAATGTGTGTGATTGTGAGAGTGGATGGGTGTTTCCCAGTACTGGGTTGCAGCTGGAAGGGCATCCGCTGTATAAACCATATATTGAAATAGCTGGCAGTTCATTCCGCTGTGGCAACCCATGATATATAAGGGACTAATCTGAAGAAAAATGAAAGAATGAATGAATAACCATCCAAATTGTCAAGACAGTTGTCAGGTTGATTTACTATTTTTGAACTGTTTAATATAACATATGCATAAATTATGCAGCTTTAAAGGAGGCTTTCGTGTTTTATGCTAAAACTTGAGTACATCATGCAACCCACCGTTTCACACATGCTAAAATTATCTAACTGCCATGACAACCTATTAGAGAGACACTTGTGCTGTTTTAATGAGGAAACGCTGGACGCGTGACGTGTGCATTTGTGAATGAACTGGACAGGAGAAAGTCGTGAACACGAGCGTGGAGAAGCTGCCATGAAAAACAGTAAACAACCTTATTAGGAAACACTTCAGTAAGAGACAGACAAAAACACCTACACAGCTTATTAAAGTAACGTCTTGCACTTTAACAAATATCTGTTGATTAACACTCGCTATTTTGTGATTCAAAAGTGTTTTCTGTTTGTTTATGGTTGTGAATTGCATTATGGGAGCTTGATCTCTGCTCTGTCGTCTTTTGATGTTGAAAATTCAATTCTACAGTTGAACAAAGTGACTTTTATAGACTTTTTAAAATAACATAATGGATAAGAAATACGGGGCGGCAGTGGCTCAGTGGTTAGCACTGTCACCTCACAGCAAGAAGGTTACTGGTTCGAGCTCCTGCTTAGTTGGCATTTCCGTGTGGAGTTTGCATGTTCTGCCCCTGTTGGTGTGGGTTTCCTCCAGTATGCTCCGGTCCAAAGACATGCGCTGTAGGTGAACTGAATAGGCCGCAGTGAATGTGTGTTAATAAGGATGTATAGGTGTTTCCCAGTATTGGGTTGCAGCTGGAAGGGCTTTCGCTGTGTAAAACATATGCTGGATACGTTGGCGGTTCATTCCGCTGCGGCAACTCCTGATAAATAAAGAGACTAAGCTAAAGGAAAATGTATGGAAGGATATTGAATTGCTGTTTGGTATTGCTCACTGACCTTGTTGCACAAAAACCAAAACAACGTTGCAAGGGCAACCTTTCGGTTTATCTTGCTTTTTTTTCTCCTCCACACTTACACCCACACTTGTACAAATAAAAATGTGTGTTATCATAATCGACATGCTATTTTTTCCCCTGCACAAAGGAAAACGTGCCCTCGTTTGACCATTCGCACATGCACAAAAGTACACAAAGCATTAAAAGCACGTTGGTTTAGCTGGCAAGAAGTAAAACTGGAGCAAGATACTGGCTTTAAAATTGACTTTGAGATTAGATACTAAACAGACTTTAATGCGGCATGAATAGTAAAAACACAACACCAACTGTGCACGTGGCACATGGTTAAACACATGGAAAAATCTATTAAACTGATTCATTTTTTACATTTATTTATTCTTTTTCCTGCGGCTAGTTAGAATGAACCGCCAACTTATTCCGCATAAGTTTTACACAGCAGATGCACTTTCAGCTGCAACCCATTACTGGGAAACATACAAACTCATCCATTGGGGAGAACATGCAAACTCTTCACAGAAATGCCAACTGAACCAGCCAGGGCAAAATCATGACATTTCTTGATGTTTCTTTCTTCTCTTAAAAGATATTTTGAAAAAAACTAATTATGAACATTCTTCAAAGTATCTTCTTTTATGGTCAATGGGAGAAATAGTGTTTGGAATGGAGGATAAATTCAAATAATTTAAATTATGGCAGATTTTGTGTTTTTTTTGGGGGGTAAAATGTTTCTTCAAGGTGTTTGAATTTTAAAATAGATGATTGTTATTCTTTAGCCCATGTTGAGAGACCCCATCTAAAAGTCATCTTTTGGTATAAAGAAGCAACTTACATTAAATGGAGCTAAAACTCATTCATTCATTTTCTTTTCAGCTTAGTCTCTTTAATAAACTGGGGTCGCCACAGCGGAATGAACCGCCAACTTATCCAGCATATGTTCCACGCAGCAGATGCCCTTCCAGCATCAACCCAGTACTGGAAAACACCCACACACTTCCATTCACACACATACACTACGGCAAATTTTATCTTACCCAATTCACCTATATGTCTTTGGACTTTGCAAACTCCACACAGAAACGCCAGCTGACCCAGCCGAGGCTCAAACCAGTGACCTTCTTGGTGTGAGGCGACAGTGCTACCCACTGTGCCGCCATGCCGCCCTTGGACCTGAAATGTCATTGAGAAAATATTTAGTTTAGTTATTTTTAGTTATTTTATTTTATTTTAGTATTACAAAGTGGTATGATCTAATGCTTACAGTTAATAATTGTGTTTTGAAAATGTGTTTGCAGTATATACCTAATTAAATATTATACACTGTTGTTTTATTATACATTTTTATAATGTTTTTAAATACTTTTAAAATAAGTTTAATTAGGTTTTTAGATTTTATTCCTTAAATTATAATTATTTTTTTTATTTTACAATGTATCATTTCATATTTAGAATTATTTTACAATTCATTATTGTGTTAATTTCTTATTTTCTTATTTCTAATTTCTTGTGATGTTTTTATTATTATTATTGTAAAATTATTTTATAATTCATATTTTTTTATTTAATTATTTATACATTCATTGTAGCAATTTTACCATTTATTTTAAGTCTTATCCAAAATTAAAGGTATATTTTGCCCATAGATTAAATTTTATTAATGGAATTTACTCACCCTCAAATGATTAAAAACTTTTATGAGTTTCTTTCTTCTGTTGAAAGATATTTTGAAAAACGTTCATTCTTCAAAATATCTTCTTTTATGGTCAACAGAAGAGAGAAACTCATGTTTGGAGTAAATAGTTTTTCAAGGTGTTTGAAATTTAAAATAGATGGTTGTTACTGTTTTTGGCAAAGGACCTCACCTCATTCAAAAGTAATCTTTTGTTGTAAAGATGCAGCGAAATGGAGCTAAAATATTATTCAGAAAATATTTTAGTTCTATTTGTTTGTTGTTGTTATTTTATTACATTCTTTATTACAAAATACTATAATAATGCTAATATAATTGGTAATTGTGTTTTGAATATACTTTTGCACTATTTGTTAGAATATTATATATATATATATATATATATATATATATATATATATATATATATATATATATATATATTTGTTTTTATTATAAACTTTTATAATGTTTTTAAATACTTTTTAAAATAAGTTTAATTTGGTTTTAATTTTAAATCCTTTTTTATTATTGTTTATTATTTTACAATGAGGGCGACATGGTGGCTCAGTGGTTAGCACTGTCATCTTACAGCAAGAGGGTCGCTGCAAGAAGTCTCAGGTGGGCCAGTGTGCATTTCTGTGTGGAGTTTGCATGTTCTCCCACTGTTGGTGTGGGTTTCCTCCGGTTGCTTTGGTTTCCCCCACAGTCCAAAGACATTTGGTATAGGTGAACTGACAAAACTAAATTGGCTGTACAGTATGAGTGCATGTGCAAGTGAGAGTGTATAGGTGTTTCCCAGTACTGGATTGCAGCTGGAAAGGTTTCCTCTGTCCAAAACATATGATTCATTCAAGTTGGCGGTTTAATCCGCTGTGATGACTCCTGATGAATAAAGGGACTAAGCCAAAGGAAAATTAATGAATTATTTACTCATTTATATATCATATATTTTTGTTTTATTATACATTTTTATAAGATTTTTAAATAATTTTTAAAATAAGTTTAGTTTAGTTTTTTTATTTTAATCATTTTATTATTAATTATTAATTTATTATTATTTTACAATGAATAATTGTTATATTATTAGTTTTACAATTAATTATTGTCTTCTTTTCTTATGTTCATTAATTAATTATTTATGCAAAATTATAGGGAACATTTAGTGTAGCATTTTTACTATTTAATTTTACAATTAAATATATTTGTACACAATAATTATGTATACTTCTAACCTCTTTAAAAGCAGTCCATATTTTTCCAAAAGAATTTTTTTAAAGAATTTAAAGCACATAACTATTATTTTAGACATGAGAAAACGATATACAACAAAATCTCATCATGTAGCATTGTCCACAATCACGCTGTTCACATTTTAATATCGTATTTTTATATTAATTATATAAGTTATCAATTAAACGTAGTTATTGGTGTTTTATATTGTTGTTATTGACATGATTCACATTATAACGTGCCCCGTTCCAAAACAAAACTACATTTTCCCACATGCCTTTCCCATAAGAGTTAAATATCCACACAACACAAATAAAGTTTTTCAGAGCGTGCACGCCGAGTCCCATGATGCTTCGCTGTGTTTGGTCAGAATTTAAATCGCAGCAGCCAATCAGAGGCGGAGGCAACGAATCGAGCACAATTCAAAAAGTAGCAGCGATTCACTGCATTCCCAACCGAGCTGCGGGCCGACGCGCTTCACCACCGCCCGTTTACATCCACGAAATTCGACAAATGCGGTGAATATACGGCGTTTAGATACTTTGTTGTGCCTTTTTGTCTTGGCTGGCGGTATTATTTGAATGCGGATTTCAGCGGAGGAGTGAAGTACTGCGTGTTGTTTACGGATAAAGGAGCAGGAAACATCGCCTCGGTTGTTTATTTTTCAGGACGTTAGGGTGTATTTTTGTACTTAAGAGCATTTGTAGTGTACAACGATGAGTGCTGCAATTGCAAAGCCATCGGCGAAGCCATCGGCTCACGTCGATCCCAAATCTGCTCCTCTGAAAGAGATTCCCGACGTTCTGGTGGATCCGAGAACCATGAAGAGATACATGAGAGGTCGCTTTTTGGGAAAAGGAGGATTCGCCAAATGCTACGAAATCACAGATATGGACACAAAAGAGGTCTTCGCTGGGAAAGTTGTGCCGAAGTCGATGCTGCTGAAGCCGCACCAGAAGGAGAAAATGAGCACAGAAATCGCCATTCACAAAAGTCTCGATAATCCGCATGTTGTGGGCTTTCACGGGTTCTTTGAGGATGATGACTTCGTGTATGTGGTGCTGGAAATCTGTCGCAGAAGGGTAAGAGCTGGGAAAGCATTTTGAAAACAGACCGTCAACGGTCGGTATTCCTGTCACTGCCTCGTAGTATCTTGCAAAGCTCGACGTTTAACTCGTTTAAATTGCATTCTGTTAGGATGAACAACTACCCATTGTGATCTTTTTAAAAATGTTAATTATTTATTTAAACGAGGCACATATAAAGTGATTTAACTCCACTTTCCCCTGTACACTGCAAGTGGATTTTAAACTGGAGGAAGTGACGTCGGTTGACTTCGTATCTCGGACAAATTGTTGTTCAAACGAACTGCGTCTAAACGTCGCTTTTGTCGTCAAATTTTAGTGTAATGCGGATTTTAACATTTAAACCCTCACCAAAACAATTATTTAATTGTTGTAAACTTATCGCAACCATGTATTTGGCGTATTGTTAACGTTAACATTTTATCCAGTTTCACTAAACGTAACGTTACTGTGATTGTGTACAGTACAACCATAAAAACATGTTTATTGAACTTGATTATTTGTAAATTGTGAGCCCTCGTATAGTTGTAGTAAGTAAAATTATTATTCGTTTTGGGAAACTAAATCCTTTAAGAGAGAAATTGTTTTATTCTACAAGAGACCCGTTACGTTAAATAATTAAATTTTATCATTTTAAATCCTTTTCACAGGGTGTCTTAAATTACAAACTAAATTTTGGACCTTAAAAGTCTCAAATTTGCTAATTTATGGTCTTGTTGGTCTTAAATTTTTAATTGTTCTTAAGTTTCCTATGCCCATTTAAAGTTAACCACATGGGCAAAGACCTACCCAATCAGCAGCAACAGAACTCTATAAAACGTTTAACTAAATATAATAACTATTTACCTATATGGTTTTATTTTCCTTTGCGTAAAATTTATTTATTTTAAGGCTTCTTAGCATTAAGCCCATTTGTGAGTCTGAAATTTCGTTTATAATGGTCTTAAGAGTCTTAGATTTGACGAGACCTGCAGAGACCCTGTATTCAGTATTACAATATGGTCTATTCCTTTTATTTTTTTTATAAATTAGTTTTTGTTTGTTTTCTGCTGTTAACTTTTTTCCCCCCTCTTCCAGTCTCTCCTTGAATTGCACAAAAGGAGGAAGGCAGTGACTGAGCCTGAGGCCCGATACTTCATGCGCCAGACTATTCAGGGTGTTCAGTACTTGCACAACAACAGAGTCATTCACCGTGATCTCAAACTTGGGAATCTGTTCCTCAATGATGACATGGATGTGAAGATCGGTAAGCACACACAGATTTTTACAATTTTTATACCTGACTTTTTATATATACTTAAAATTAAGGCTATTTGTTCTCCTCTTTGTAGGTGACTTTGGTTTAGCCACTAAGATTGAGTTTGATGGGGAGCGAAAGAAGACCCTTTGTGGCACTCCAAACTACATTGCTCCTGAGGTGCTCTGCAAGAAAGGCCACAGCTTTGAAGTTGACATTTGGTCACTAGGATGCATTCTGTGAGTACCTTGTTGAATTAATTGCACAATGATGTTTTCACAATGTTATGTTCTCTGATGGTGTTTCATTCTTGCTAAAGCTTTAATTTTGTTTAACATGTACTGTACTCGCAGTAATTTCTTTTCTTTATCAGATACACACTGCTGGTTGGAAAGCCTCCATTTGAGACATCCTGTCTGAAAGAGACCTACATTAGGATTAAGAAGAATGAGTACTCAGTTCCTAGAGTAAGTATCTTTGTATTATTAGGTTTTCTAGTGTTAAGTCAAATCAAAGTTATTTTAGTGTTAAATCAAAGTTACTTCATTTTGTTTTTAAAATTCATAAGGTTAAGCTTATTGTGCAGTGTTCATTTATTCCCTTTTTAAGCTCAATATTTCTTTCATTCTTGTAGCTCAAACAGTAGAGCATGGTGCTAGGAAAATGTTTTCTGCAGAAAGATTTGCTTTGCTGTGATGAAATGTGTCAAAAAATTGAATCAAAGTTGTCATTTCCATTATTTTACTTGCTCTGCTGTGCAGGATATTTTCATTTTAGCAGTACATTTGTTTGTAGCACCCCCAAATGTCATCTAAAGTGAGTTAAAAAAATAACAGTAGGGAAGGGTATGAGTTTTAGGAAAACTGGTCACAAGAATAATTGAATGCTGGTTACTATCAGATTGAAATGTAATTAATCTTTAGCTGACCACTTGAGATTGGATCACTGAGAGCACAATATATCTGAAAATTGATTGATTTAATACCATCTGGAATTTGTAGCTTCTAATGTGGAATGCTTAACCCATTTATACAAGCTTAAACATGAAAAACAGATTGGTGACTTATTACATTGTTGGTGGTTTTTTTTTAAGCACATTAATCCAGTTGCATCTGCTTTGATTCGTCGGATGCTGCACGCTGACCCTACACTCAGACCTTCTGTAGCTGAACTGCTGACTGATGAGTTTTTCACCTCTGGTTATGCACCCATGCGGCTGCCCACTTCCTGTCTCACTGTTCCTCCCAGGTTCTCCATCGCCCCCTCCAGCCTGGATCCTGCCCTCCTCCGCAAACCTCTCTCATCACTTAATAAAGGTATACAAGTGTTTTTATTATTTTATTATAATTTTTTATATATTATATATATATATATATATATATATATATATATATATATATATATATATATATATATATATATATATATATATATATATATATATATATATATATAAGACCATTTTAATGTGGTCATGTCATTGTGCCATGAACATTTCCTGCTTAAACTTTTATAGCCGTAACGAGGCAATTCAATCATAACTTGATGTTAAAACAGCTATCATAGCATTATTTATCAATATGTGGATCTTTTTGGAAGCATGAGAAATTAAAACTGTAAGACAAGAAATGCGTTGACACCATTGTGTTTTGTTTGCATCCCTCAAAATGGTTAATAGTCTTAGTGCATTCTTTATTAATCGAAAATTGTATTTGTGAATTTAAAGTAACAATTGTAAACATGCAATTTACCTGTTACTCTTTTGTATGTGCGCACACAGGCACAGATAGTCCAATTGAGAAAATGGGGAAAATGGATCAGCCACAAAGAGAAGATCTGCAACAAAGGTCAGTTCTTTAATCCTGTGTTGTGTTTATCACCCAATTTGGTAGTACTATTAAACCTATGCATATTGACTTGTATTAAATAGAGCAAATCTTTTAATAGATGTAGGGTTACAGCAATTGAGAATACATGTGTGCTTAATGGATGTCACTGAATTGTTTTGCTCAGAGATGGACCAGAGCAGCCTGACACTCACCTAACTGACATGCTGCAGCAGCTGGCTGTCGTCAATGCAGCCAAGCCGTCTGATAGAGACTTTATTAGACAAGGTAATGAATTTCTGTGTCTTGTACTTGGGAAGAGTTTAATTACTATATTTTAGTACTCTTTAAAAGGATTTTTGTATGACTGCGTTTAATTGCCGTCTATGTATTCATACAACAATCAAGTGCTGTTTGGAAAGGGTTACATGTTCTCAAATTGACAATCTTGTTGCAAATATTTTTTTTTCCCCTTACACTTTTACAGAGGAAGCTGAAGACCCTGCTTGTATTCCTGTCTTCTGGATTAGTAAATGGGTTGACTACTCTGACAAATATGGCCTTGGTAAGACACCATGCTAAAGTTCCTTAGTGTTTTTTATTTTATTTTATTTTTTTTTTTACACTGTTTTAATGCCTGAGGGGAAAAACGCTTGCAAATTAAAAATGTACTTGCAAGTATAATATTATGGAACATTTTCCTAAAAAATATGTGTCCGCTTGTTAAATGTGACGTCACGCTAAGCGGCTTCCGCGTCCAAGCGCTCTATTCAACTGTATGGGGAGACTCGTGAAATGGTAATAATAAACGTTAACAAAACTATTGAATACTTTCCAAAATCACGATCGCAATATATATGGCCATGCCTAATATCTGATGGCCAGAAAATAATTTTTTTACATTTTTTTTTATAAATTGTTAATTTTGGTATTTGTGATGCAGCAAGCCCAGAGATTGTTGTGTACACTGACTATATATAAAATTAAATTATGTGTAATATGAATAAAAAGTGATCATAAACGAATGATTTCTCAAGTCAAATGAGTGACTGCTTGGACCTGGAAACAATATTAAATGCGTCACAACTTAACAAGTGGATTGAAACATCCCACCTGTTGAATGGTAATCTTTAAGAGTGAGATAAAATAATGGTTTGCGGAGCCTTCCAATTGATAAGTATAATTAAAATAATGATACAAGTATGATTTGCAGCATCTGATAGTGCCAAATCTAACACTTTTTTTTTTTTTGTTGTTGTTTTTTTTTTTTGGAAAATACTGCCACTTATGCAAATGTTTATTTATTTTTTTTTATTAGGTTACCAGTTGTCTGATAACAGTGTAGGTGTTCTGTTCAATGATTCCACACGGTTGATCATGTGTGCTGACGGTGATAGCCTGCAGTACATCGATCGCAACTCTCTAGAATCCTACCTCAGTGTTCGCTCGTATCCCTCTGCACTCTCCAAAAAGGTCTGCATGGTTCTGGAAATAATGTGTTGGATAAGTGACACTGATTTGATGTCCAGAACTAACATACTGTCTTTATTTTAGATTACACTCCTTAAGTACTTCAGGAATTACATGAGTGAGCACTTGCTGAAGGCTGGAGCGAATATAACTCCTCGGGAAGGGGATGAACTGACCCGATTGCCTTACCTTCGCCACTGGTTCCGCACAAAGAGTGCTATTGTGCTACACCTGAGTAATGGGACTGTGCAAATCAATTTTTTCCAGGTAAGAATGCTGCGTAACAATCTTGTATTAATCTAAAGCATTTGTCAGTATTAAATTTATCCATTTATAGACCATTTTCAGTGTGGTCATGACATTGGCCCATGAACATTTGCTGCTTGGTATCAAACTACTTCATAACTGTAGCGAGGCAATACAATCATAACCTAGTGTTAAAACAGCCATCATAACATTTATCCATATGGGATTCTCAAAAGTTATAGAAAAGATGTAAAACTGGAAATATATTGGGATCATCGTTTTGTTTACATCTCTCAAAATGGTCCATACTACAAGGCTGATGAATGCTTTTATCTGATTGGTTGTTCTAAGGTATTTATTTTCTATTAAATGCACAGCTGAAGTTCCAGACAGGTTTTAACCACATTAGTTCCATATCACCTCTGAATTATTTATTTCACCGCTTTCAAAAGTCATATCAGAACAAAATGTTTTGGACGAGATGTGTTACAAAACTAGTCTCACACTCCAGAGTTATTTGAGGACAAAAATATGACAAATGTTTTAATATATAACTGTTACCACTGTTCACTGTGACACTGTTCAAATGCTGTATAAGCAGAATAATTAAATTATCACCACTTTGAGTTTTTTTTTTTTTTTTTAAATAAGAATAAGAGATAGATTGACCAAAAAGTCAAATCTGTTATTTGGTCATCTTTACTCGTTTCAAAATTTTGACTGACAAAAGCCACTTTCACATACACAGACTTTTCTGTAAAATTACCAGCAATTTTTCGAAAAGGGATCATGTGAGAACAGGATGTTTACTACGAATTGGACAAATCAGATGAATTCACATCTGTGCTGTTTATGAAAAATGCATTTTGAATACTTTTCCAGAAGCATTTAGCTGCTGCTTGTTAGTCGGGTAACATTTTTATGTTCCGTCTTAGTGCAAACTGGGGGAAAAATGATCAATAAGATTCTTATGATACACTGAGTTTACCTGCAGTTCAAGGCACATACAAAGGAGTGCTCCAGTCAGTCAGATTTGGGTAACCTATGGCAGGGCTGTGCGATTTTTGGGGAAAATATTGAATTGAGTTTATTTTTTTATATGTATATAAGCTTTGCTAAAATGCAGTGAGTGCTAGTTAAAAAAAAAAAAAAAAAAAAGAAAGAAAGAAAAGAAATGTTGGAGTTGTTTAATATCTTTTCAGTTATTCAAATTTTCTTTAAATATTTAGAAATAAAACTATCTCCTAGAGAAAACCGTAAGCACAATTAAAAATGTCCTTTTGCATCATATTATGGAGAGTGTTGTTTATTATAAAAACAAAAAAATTATAATTACAAAAATAAAGAACACAGCAAAACTTAACATGGCTTTTTGTACCTTTTTATATGGTCTAAAAGCAAAATTGTTGTCAGATGCTACACTAAAGATCATGACATTTAACGTAGAGCTGCATTACTGCAAAATGGGAAAAATATGTTTGAGTTGAAAGTGTTTATCAATAATTGGCAATTCTCCAATGGCTTTGACTTTAAAACCCAAAATATTCTCATATTAGCGATGGCCTGATTTTCTTTGATAGTAATTTAGTCTAATGATGTTTTGAAGTGGCAGCAGCCATCATCCTCTTTGTTTGGGGTTTAAAAAAATATATATTGTGAGCATTCTGAAGTTTGATTGGCCAGAACGAAAGTGTACCTTCTCAATTAGCTAAAAACTGTATACACACATAGACAGCAGTCCCACATTGGCTCTGGGTGGGGGAAATTAAATAACAGATTTAATATCGCAGCCTCTTGCATGGCTTTTTTTTTATTTTAAGCTAATCGCAATGTTTCCAATTGCAATTCTATTTCGATTAATTGCACTGGCCTACTCGACATGTGAAAGTCTTCCTTTATATCATCAGCATTTGTAATGTAGTCAAAAGTGTAAACAGCTGTTTTTAGCTGCGTTTAGCGCCTCTGCCATTGGATGGTAATGTTTATTTTGGTCTGTCTCTGGGACAAAAGCAGCATGAATGCCAGCATTTATAACAAAAGTGAAACCAACTTTGTTTACAAATACAAGTGTGGGTGTTTAGAGCTCGTTTATGGTAATGTCTGAATTTTACCAGTGTTTTGGAATGGATGTTTGCATGATCTTTTTCTAGATAAATTCTGAAACCTTCTTGCCTGTCTAAACGACACATTTTAATTTCCAGGTAAAGTTGTTACAGAAGTTTTTCTGGAAATTGACCAGTATTACTGTGTGAAAGGGGCTAAAGATTATATTTTGAGAACCGCTGGGAAAAACTGTCACCATTAACATTGACTTTTCACTTTCCTACTATTGTAGTCAGTGGTTGCATGCTTTGTTTTCTTCAAAATATAATCTTTGAGTTCAAGAGAATAAAGAAGCTCATAAAGGTTTGAAGCCACAAGTGTGTGAAATCGATGATAAATTTTAGGGTGAGCGTTTGTTAGGTTTATTTGGTAGATTTAATTTCCCATCATCAGTTATTCCTTGCATAATGTCAAGTGAATTTTGAATAAAGTTTATTTTAAGGTCAATAAAAAGGTCAAACTGAAACTGTAAATTCTTCTTTTTGTGCTCTCCAGGATCACACTAAGCTTATTTTGTGTCCACTAATGGGAGCAGTGACGTACATCAATGAGAAGCGAGAGTTTTACACCTACAAGATGACCTTAATCGAGGAGTTCGGCTGCTGTAAAGAGTTGGCTAGCCGTTTGCGCTATGCTCGCAACATGGTGGAGAAGCTCATGGCCTGCAAAAGCAGCACAACAGCTGCTACTTCAGCACGCTAACCCACTGACGTCATAAATTGTATAGCTATGAGTTCACCATCGGCTCTCACTTGAGTCTGAGGGCCCGTAAATATTACTACAGCAAAACTTGAACAGTTTTCTGAGTTCTACACTATGATGTCCTCTTCTGGATCTGTTTACTCTCTCTCGCTGTCGTTTGTTCATCAGGGTTGCACATCTGTGGCCATCTCTGTATCATGTGAATGCTCTTGTACATGTTTTAATATTTTAGATGCTGTTTATCTGTCCTCTGTTCTTTGTATAAAAGCTTTTGGATGAGAATCTTTTAACGTGTAAGAATATTTGAAATAATTTGGTATTCCAAAAATAAAGATCTTTTTAGACAAAATTTTGGATTGTTAGATACTATTGAGAAATACAAGTTTATATTCGAGTGTTTAATTAAAATATTCATGTTTGGAAAGTTAAAGTGTTTCAGAACTTTAATTAACAAGCTGCTGAATGTTTGATTTTGATTGGCTGATGAGCATTTATTTGCTGAATAATATAAAGCTGAAGTAGTTCCAGGCAGATCCCGATCGCATTTCAATTTCATATCATGAAGCGGTTCAATTTCAGTCAACAAAAGCAAAAAGCTCAGAGAGATATGTAAGAAATGAATACTATACCAACACTGGAGCTGTATGAGGACCAAAACCTGACAAATTTCCTGAAATAAGTCATCTAAACCAGGAACTTCCAAATTCTGAAAGGCAAATTCTTTTAATTAAACTGTTTTTTTTTATCCAAAATCTACAAAAGAAAAAAAAATAGTACTTATTAGTTGCATTATAAAAACAGGCTATTTTTTTTCTCCATTGGATTACAACCTATTTACTAAATGCTAATGTAAGAAACTAAAACATTATTCATAATCTAAATGCAGTCTATTAAATCTAGCTAATTCAGTCTGGCACCTAAAGAACTGCAGAAATAAGTGTTGCCTTGGTTACTGAGGTAAACAAAGCAGCATAATGTCAAATCACGTGAAGGTGCGCGTTTACAACAGCCATTACGGTGTTTCCATTAGAGCGAGCAGCACAACAGGCCAATGTCAAGCTAGTAGGTTGTAGTTTTATTTTGCCCCACAAAAGTGTTCTTGGAGCTTCGTTTGGTTTTATTTGAACCACTGAAGTATCATGGAGTGCCCTGACAACATTGTGTTTGGCACCTTTTCTGCTCTTCGAATGCCTTGAGACCCTTGCTGTTTATGGAGGATAAGGGAGCTCTCGGATTTCACCTGAAGTATCTTAATTTTTGTCTCCCGAAGACGAACGAAGGTCTCGGGGAATTGAAACAACATGAGGGTGAGTGATTAATCTCAGCCAATCACATGACAGCAACTTAATTCTTTGTAGGCCTGTAGACAAGGTCAAGATGATCTGCTGCAGTTCAAACCGAGCATCAGAAATGGGAAGAAAGGGGATATAAGTGACTTTGAATGTGGCATTTGGGTTGGTGCCAGACGGGCTGATCTAAGTATTTTAGAAACTGCTGATCTACTGGGATTTTTACGCACAACCATCTCTAGGCTTTACAAAGAATGGTATGAAAAAAGAGAAAATATCCAGAGAGCAGCAGTTCTGTGGGCGCAAATGCCTAGTTGGTGCCAGAGGTCAGAGGAGAATGGCCAGACTGGTTCGAGATGATAGTAAGGCAACAGTAACTCAAATAACCACTTGTTACAACCAAGGTATGCAGAAGAGCATCTCTGAACACACAACACGTCCAACCTTGAGGCAGATGGGCTACAGCAGCAGTAGACCACACCAGTTGAAACTCCTGTCAGCTAAGAACAGGAAACTAAAGCTACAATTCACACAGGCTCACCAAAATCAGACAAGAAATGATTGGAAAAATTGTTTTCTAGTCTGATGAGTCTCGATTTCTGCTGTGACATTTGGATGGTAGATTCAGAATTTGCCGTCAACACATGAAAGCATGCATCTATCCTGCCTTGTATCACCGGTTCAGGCTTCTGGTGGTGGTGTAATGGTGTTGAGGATATTTTCTTTCAGTTTTCTAGAGCATCTTTGAAATGTGGTGGAGGAGATTCGCATCATGGATGTGCAGCTGACAAATCCGCAGCAACTGTGTGATGCTATCATGTCATGGACCAAAATCTCTGAGGAATATTTCCAGTACCTTGTTAAATCTATGCCATGAAGGATTAAGGCAGTTCTGAAGGCAAAAAGTGGGTTCAACCTGGTTCTATTAAGGTGTACCTAATAATGTGGCCGGGGAGTGTATAATCTTGATTTTGTGTTTGCCATTTTCTTGTCAACAATCAAGAAATGATTTAAACTAACTTCATTGCATTTGCTAAATAACAGCACAATAAAACATTACGGACAAGAAGCGGATTCATTTATCATGGAATTCTTTCTGGAAAAATAAAACGTGATCGAGAACTATCACAAAGATACTCCATTACTTTAACATGGTTTATTTGGTTTTGTGTGCATTAAACAAAGAATATAACTGTCCAAAGTTTTTGTGCAGGGCACTTTTAGATGCTGTAGTAAAAAGTACCATGGTATGAACAATCCACCACGGTAATTCAGCATTTATTGAAGTATCTTGCAAGTACCACAGTATGTGAACACCACCAGACATAACCAGTATTTTCTGTAATGGAAATCCAAACAAACAACATTAATCTGAATCAAGTTTAACAGTTCTTTGGTCTGTGCCACTTTAACAAATAATTGCACAGACAGTTTTCCAGTGAAACATAATCAGTACATTAACTCTCTGTTGGGTAGAAAAACAAAGGCACTTATATGTCGTCACTTGGTTAATATCTCCCATGGCAATAATCCTCAAGGTTTAATTGTTAAGTTTATAAAAAGATATGTTATGAAACTATCAGTATAAAATTTGAGTGTACAGCAGGCTGTGAAAATACTTAATGGAAACACCACATTAGAGCTGTAACACTGAGAGATGAGGATAAAACAGCAATGTGTGGCGGACAGTAACAAATCCATGATAAATATAGCATGAAGCTGCAGTTAAAACCACACAAAGCTGAAGAAAAAACAACAACAATCTGTCCTAATTTATCTGATTGACACAGACACGTTTAGATGTACACTTGGTGTACAAAAGGATTCTTAGACCACTAATTGTTGAAGATCTTCATATATCTGCAGATGTCAATAGAAGTTGTGCTGGCTTTTATGATATCATTTTAGCAACGCAGCTAAAGAATAGTTCAGCTAGTTCAACACAAATTAATATGATACATTTTTTAACTGTTTGTAACTGAGGCAACACTTTACAATAAGAGTACACGAATAATGATGTATAAATATATAAACTAAATATTACTTTATTATGAACTAATGATGAGTTAGGGCTCGCTAATCATGAACTAACTTTAACCACAACATCATGAAATGTCACATGTGTTCATGTGTGAATAACGGCTGCCTTAGAGGTCGATTACACCAAACTCGCTTTTACGTTCCAAAAACGCAAGGCGCACTGCAATGAAAAAAAGAAAACAAGAAGTGCGGTGTGCTTTTATTATGTCGCTAGCCAATGACTGAATCAGTTGCATATTGTGTGCGAATGTACAATATTATTATTTATTGGTATAATTTTAATATTTAATAATATTGTATATTCCAACACAATCTCACGGCAATTCGTAACTTTTTGATTTAGTGGCTAATTCGTATAAATTCGTACAATCTAATTCGAACAATTTAGTATGATTTGCTCATCCCCCAATGACGGTGGGGTTAGGTGCCACGCCTCCTTTTTAAAATTGTACATTTTCGTACGACTGAACTCGAATTGAATTAACCACTAAACTGGCAAAACGTAAAATACTTACGTTTTCTTGTGAGATTAGGCTGGATATTTAAGATTTGTGAAGTCATACAGCTCTGAATAACTCAAAACAGCGACCACTAGTCGGTCCTCTATTTTCAAAAGTCTCCGTAATCATCTTGACAACACAAACACTGCTGTCACCTCAACAGAAACCCCGCCTCTGCTTTCATTTGATTGGAGAATTAAACAGACGCAACTGACATAACATGCTTTTTCACTCGGAGTTGACTTTTTTTTTTCAACTGTGAGCACACAGCGTACAATGGCAAAAACGTGAGGCGCGCACGACGCATAAGCAGCACGCAAAACGCACGCGTCCGTTAGTAAATCATTCAAAAAAGGCACCTCTCAACGCAAAAATAGAGTTCTTATTTACTTGTAAGTACATTCTTGTTTGTTGATTAAGGGCCTACTCACACTATGCTATATGAACCGTGGCCAGGCCCGTGTTCCAGATCGTTTGAGAAGTGTTAGTGGATTCACTTGGCCGGCCCTGGCCCAGTTGGAAGAGGTGAGCGCGGTTCACTTGGGCTAAGCGCCTAAGCCCGAAACTGAAGACGAGACGGAACTGTTTCATATGGATTTATTAATCATTCTCACTGTTTAATGAACGCAAATTGTCTTAGATTATTAAAGACGCAAACCCCTCACTGCATGACAGCTGCACCTTCAGCAAACCTCCTAATTCCTGCAACACGAAGATTTTATGATTGTTTATGAGCATCAAAAGTGGCTGATCTGTTTGGCGAAATATTTGACTGCGTGCCACTGCATATCAAACAACTTAATCAATATAACTAAAGAAATCTCCACTGTGTTGAGGGAGTGTGCTTAATGAACAGTGCATCATTGATGAGTGAGGGCCGTCGGGGGAGACGGGAGGGGGGACAAGCGAGCTTTAGCTCGGTTCGAACTTTAGCTCGCCCTAATGTATTAATTACTACATTAGTTTAAGCTTAATTTAATCATCATGAACTCGTGACATGTTTATGTATAATTATATCATGACTTTACTAAGAGGGGCACATTATCATTAACTAGGGTTATACTGGAACGATACTGGAATTCGGTACCAATCTGTACTGAAATTAAAAAAAAATGCCCATTTCCTGCGAACATTTGAGCACTGTTGAGCACATTCTTAAACACGGTTGATTTGTCATTGGGTTCACATGCTCAACTGAAATGACTGTGATTGGCCGTGAAGGTCATCAGTTCACCGAACTCACTGCTGTTTACGGAGTGTAACCACAGATACAGGGACACTGGAGCGTTTTAAAGTCATGTCGATCAGCTGGTTTGTCTGTAAGCTGACATACGAGTGATCTGCTGATGAATCGCGGCTTTAAAATGCTACAGTGTCCCTGTATCTGTGGATTGGTACTTAATTCCAGCATCGTGACAACCCTATCATTAACCCATTCTTAACTACTCATGAACTCCTTTTGCATATCCGTCTAGTGTGTTTACACTGTCTACATCAACATGAACAGTTTAAACACAGGAGTTGATGAGTAGTTAAGGATGAGTTAACGGTGACGTGCCCCTTCCTTCAGTTCGTTCATCATATATATGTTCAGTTCACAAATTAATACATCGTTATTCGTGTGCTGTTATTGTAAAAGTATTGTAAAAGTGTTACCCACTCAATGTAACAATGAAAAATCCCTCCTTTTGTGTTTCTAATTTTAATTTTGAGATGAACTATTTTTAAGTACCATATAGAAGTCTACCTATTAAGAATATAAGTAGTCGGCTGGCGATTTAATAATAGTCTGAACAACAATAAACAATCCTGACAGAACAAGTGCCAAACTGCTGGCTAATATCAGCTAATCTGAAAAAATATGGCCTTTTTTATTTCTTTGTTATTTCTTCACATAATAAAACCAGCAGCCAATTCTTTAAAAGCCCTGTAATACACACAAGCTGCGTCCCAAATGGCACACTATGCACTATGTACTTATGCATTCACACACTCAACAGCATAGTGTATGTATAGTGTCGTCCCAATTGGAACACTAACTTTTTTTACTAAACAGAAATTCAAACCGTTTCCCAGATAACGTTTGATATTTGCCAAATTAGTGAAATGAATTACCAAACTACCAAATAATACCTGCCAAGAGTATAACCACATTCACCATCAGGAGACCATATAATCACTCTCATAGAACTTCACAATCCAAAATAAATATAATCCAACATGAGCCACCCGAAAGCTCTGCAACTTCTATAACATGAAAAAAAACTGCGGTCGATGAGTGTGTGAAGTGTCCTACATTCCACACCATTTTACCTGCTGAATGAGTGCATCATCCTGGTAATTAAAGGGCACTTATTATTTTAAGAGTTTTCGATGTGAACGCACTACTCACACTATTTATACTGGAAAATGGCATTGAATAGTGTATAAGTATGTGATTTGGGACGCACCTATAGTAACTTACTGGTTACTCTGATCTATAAAACCTGTTTCTATAAAACCATACTGTGTCCTTCAATTATACTGGCACTCTCTGTAAATTGGAAACCTGTGAAAAAGCTTCTTTATTGTATACTATTTTAATCTTTTAAGCATGTTATTGGATGAGAGTAGAGCTTTCCCCCCTGAAACTCTTTCAAACTATTCATGGTGATGTCAGATTGTAGTTTTGGAGACTTTCTGAGCCCAAGACCCAAGTTCAGTAATTCTCCCGCTGTGATTGTTGGGGATTTTTTCATCCTCGTAACTGTGTTTTTGGAGATAAACATATAGTTGAAGTCAGAATTATTAACCCCCTGTATTTTTTACCCCCAATTTGTGTTTAATAGAAAGAATTTTTTTTTTCAACACATTTCTAAACATAAAGTTTTAATAACTCATTTCTAATACCTGATTTCTTTGGTCTTTGCCATGATGACAGTACATTATATTTTACTAGATACTTTTTAAGATGCTAGTATGGGCTCTATGCACAGCTAGAGTTTTAAAGCCAATGATAAACTTCCGGTGAAAGCTTAATGTCAGTATTTACAATTTTACAAGGTTGTTTTTACAGCATCGATGTTGTAATGTAATTAGAATACATTCAATTAAACAGGCTTAAGCGTTCATTTAGTTGTTCAAGAGTTAAACGAGGCGAAAGACCATTGTAACTACTAGCGCCATAAGTAGCAACAGGTTAGTGCAAAAATTCCATTAAAAATACTGCGGTAAAATAAACAGTCATGTTATAAAGACATGGCGAGGGGATTTAATGCAGTGCTTCGTCCAATCTGAGAACCACTTCATATCGTATATCTAACAGGCGGTGAAGACCACTGGTTTTTAAAGAAATCAGATCTTAAACGTGACAATTTTGTTATGGAGCAATTAGGCTGAAAATTAAGTGCGGTTTATTTATAAACTAATTTCGAGAGAAGCACTTGCTTATAATCAACACAGCTGGCACCTCATTAACTCCGTAATCTGCCCTATTAGATGATTACAGAAGCATTATAAATAGCCAGAGCTTTTCACTCCAGTTATCTTCGTCTCAAAGTTTTCCCCCCTTCCACCCCTACTTTCCACTCTACTTTCCAATAGGGTGCCACGGTGGCTCAGTGGCTAGCACTGTTGCCTCACAGCAAGAACACTGCTGATCCAACCTCTAATCGGGCCGGTTGCCATTTCTGTGCAGAGTTTCCATGTTTTCCCCAAGTTTGTGTTCCCCAGTTGAGTTCCCCAGATTCCTGCCACTGTCTAAAAACATACATCATAGCCAATCGACTAATCCAAATTATCACTCAAGACAACCTTAGTTTACACTTCTCACACAACTAACAAGCAGGGTCAAGACCCAACTGAGTTCGAACTCCACTCTCGCCCTTCTAACAGGAGGGAGCCCCGGGCTTGAGGATATTATGAGCTCAGGACTCTCTCCCAGGACAGCATGCCAATTACGCTTTATTGATTATCAGCTAAGTGTGAACTCTTGAAAAGTCCATGTGCATAAAGCCCATTCAGCTTAAAGTGCAATCAAAAGGCTTAACTAGTAGGTTAATTTGGCAAGTTAGGGTAATTAGACAAGTCATTGTATAACGATGGTTTGTTTTGTAGACAATCCAAAACAAAGACTGCCTAAGAGGACTCATAATATTGGTCCTAAAATGGTTTTAAAAAAATTAAAAACTACTTTTATTCTAGTGGAAATAAAACAAATAAGACTTTCTCCAGAAGAAAAAATATTATCAGACATACTGTGAAAATATCCTTGCTCTGTTAAACATCATTTGGGAAATATTTGAAAAAGAAGGGATAATAATTTTGACTTCAACTGTGCATCCATATCCTCCAATACTCATATTTACCAAGAAAACTAATATATCTGGAGGACACTATATGCAAAAAAAGACATCTTCTCTCAGCAAGTCCAGTTGGGTGTTTTCAGAGTAATGACTCAGTAGCTCATTGCAATAAAATGTGCTCACAGTTCATCCAGTAGTGCAGACGGATGCAGTGTTTATTTGAGGATTCTGCTTTTCCTCTTTAGTCCAGTGCAGGAACAAACAGCGTGTCTCTACGGGCGTCAGTGATGATAGTACGGGTGAAAGGGTCTCTCGGGGGCACAGATGCTGAGTGCTGTGTGCGTGTGAAGCAGTAACCGGGGGAACCGTGAGGTGAAATACGCCACAAAGCCATCGGGGACTTCACCGAGAGTCGACTGAACCTCCGGCGGGAGCTCGTGATAATGGTGTTTCTGCAGGAAAACATTACAAGACAGCTTGAAAGTGATTTTCATTTTATTTTAAGTATAAATAACTAGGGCTGCATGGTATTGGACATTGCGATGATATTTAGTTTTTCTGCACTGTATATTGTGATATGAATATAATTTCACAATATTATTCAGGTAACTATTAGGAAGGTATACATAGTTTTACAATGGTTGGGATGATTTTGTAAAGGAGCACATTTGCATAAAATATACAAAATAATCAAAAAATCTGGTAAATACAATAAACAAAGTAAAGTGAAATGAAAGAAGAAAAGAAATGATCAGCAGTTTATGGTTTCCTGTGGAGTCTAACAGAATTAATGTACTTAAATTAAGTAATCAAATGTAAAATTAGATGTTTTTAACTTTGGTTCCAGGTTAATTATAATACCAACTTCATGTTGAAGATTCTGCGATGTGACTATTGCAGATAATACGATAATAAAACGATATATTGTGATATACAGTTGAAGTCAGAATTATTAGCCCCCTGTTCACCCTGTTTACCAATTTCTTTTTAACGGAGAGAAGATTTTTTCAACACATTTCTAAACATAATAGTTTTAATAACTCATTTCTAATTAATGATGTATTTTATCTTTGTCATGATGACAGTAAATAATATTTGACTAGATATTTTTCAAGACACTTCTATGCAGCTTAAAGAGACATTTAAAGGCTTAACTGGGTTAATTTAGTTAACTAGGCAGGTTAGGGTAATTAGACAAGTTATTGTATAATGATGGTTTGTTCTGTAGACTATCAAAAAAAAAATTGCCTAAAGGGGCTAATAATTTTTTTCCTTAAAATGGTGTTACAAAAATTAAAATCTACTTTTATTCTTGTTGAAATAAAACAAATCAAACTTTCTCCAAAAGAAAAAAAACACTATCAGACATACTGTGATAAATGTCCTTGCTCTGTTAAACATCATTTGTGAAATGATAAAAAAAGACAAAAATTCAAAGGGGGCCTAATAATTTTGAATTCAACTGTATATCCCTATTAATAACTAATATCAATAATTACATTTAATAATTTAAGTGTTTTCGGGTGTTTCAAAAAAATAAATAAAAACACAACACCAGAGTTTTGACCATTACATTGTATCATAATTGATCATACTGCAATATATTAATTCATCATTCAAAAGTCGGGGGGCAGTAAGATGTTTTTAAGAGAGAAATATTTTATTTAGCAAAGATGATCTAAACTGCTAAAAAATAGTTAAATGAATCAAATTAAATATGATACTCACAATAATGATGTATTATTTAATATATGAATACAATTTTAGATTAGCCTTAGTCGGCAAGTCTTCTTTCAAATGTATTACATATATATTTTTACTAAAATATTATATTATTCATTTATTAATTTAAATTAGAACCGCCAACTTATCCAACATGTGTTTTACACAGTGGATGCCCCTCCAGCTGCAACCCTTCACTGGGAAACTCCCACACACTCTCATTTACAGTACACACATACACTCTGGACAATTTTAGCTTACCCAATTCACCTGTACCAGGTCTTTTGATTTGTGGGGGAAACCGGAGCACCCGGAGGAAACCCACGCGAACGCGGGGAGTACATATTATATTATATTATATTATATTATATTATATTATATTATATTATATTATATTATATTATATTATATTATATTATATTATATTATATCATATTATATTATAATATATATTATTTTATATTATATTATATTATATTATATTATATTATAATTTATTTTATTATATTATTTTATTTTATGTTATATTATATTATTTTATGTTATATTATATTATATTATATTATATTATATTATATTATATTATATTATATTATTTTATGTTATATTATATTATATTATTTTATGTTATATTATATTATATTATATTATATTATGTTATATTATATTATATTATGTTATATTATATTATATTATATCATATTATATTATATTATATTATATATTATTTTATATTATATTATATATTATTTTATATTTTATTATATTATAATATATTATAATTTATTATATTATATTATATTATATTATTTTATGTTATATTATATTATATTATATTATATTATATTATTTTATGTTATATTATATTATATTATATTATTTTATGTTATATTATATTATATTATATTATATTATATTATTTTATATTATATTATATTATATTATATTATATTATATTATATTATATTATATTATATTATATTATATTATATTATATTATATTATATTATATCAGCAGTCATTCACCTGTATGCAGCATAAACACATTAAAGCTCTAAACACTTACTTTATTCCTCATTGCTCTAAGCAGGTCTCTCACTGAGTTTCCTTTATATGTACGAAATTTTCTAAGATCTGCCAGATGGGAGAGAGTTACATATCAGACATGCAAATATACATGAAGTAAATTTTCATATAAAAAAATCCACATTTTATTCCATATTTATCAAGCTATTTTAATTAGTCTCAGTAAAAGCAGTGCTGACCAGCCTGCAGCGGCGCTGAGATGTGCATCCTCCAGTTGGTTCTTACGACAGATCTGCCAGAATTTTCCAGACGAGCCACTATAGGACTTTCTGTAGGCTCCTTCTCAATCCTGTCACTGACGTCCTACAGCCAAAACACAGTAATTCAGCACTGCATTGTTCTCCTTCATTGTTCTTCTCCTTCAACGCATTTTCTCCTTCAACACACAAACTTTTACAGCTATCTTTGTAGGAACTTTCTATAGACATCATATTTCTTCAGCTTACTCCAGGGGTCACCACAGGGGAATGAATCACCAACTATTCCTGCATATGTTTTAGGTAGCACTTGCCTTTCCAGCTGCAACCCAGTACTGGAAAAAACAAACACATTCATACACTACTGCCAATTTTGTTTGTCCAATTCACCTATAGCGCATGTATTTGGATTGTAGGAGAAACTGGAGCACCCAGAGGAAACTAACATGAATCAAGGAAGAACATGCAAACTCCACACAGAAATGCAGACTGACCCAGCCGGGATTCGAACCAGTGACCTTCTTGCTGTGAGGTGACAGTGCTAACCACTGAGCCACCGTGCTGCCCCCTTACTCAAACAATACTAATAAACCCAACCCTCATAGATAACTAGATTTTTACATGACATTTGTACACATGACAAGCAGTTTTGCTCATGCAGACAAAAAGAATGTCCCCACAAATTAGTGCTATGACTATGCTTGTGGGGATATTTGGTCCTAATACTGTATTAGTTAATGTATTAGTACTTACACTCAAGCATTTCTAGGCTGAATTTCTTTGCTCTATTGTTGTCAATTGAATTGTTTCTTAAATTTATTTCCTGCAAACCTTTGAGTGCTGTCGAGGATGTTCTTAAACAGTGATGATGTAGTGATGAACTTCAGAGACAATCACAGTTTTATCTGTTGAGCATGTGAACACGATGGCCAATCAGAGCTGTTTACAGGTTCAAGAAACCTAATTAAGATTTTAAGATGTGTGTGTGTTGAGCATCAGTTAAGACAACGTTAGCACTTGTCAGCTTTAATTGTGGGGAAAACTGGATAATTTTAAGCTTTTGTTAGCTAATTTTAGCTTTCGGGTTTAAAATGATTTTTGGGGTGGGATCAAAATCGGTGACATAGCGCAAAACTGCAAGTGTAAAGATGACACGTCGGTTTCTCATTATTCATAGCCAAGTTTTGTTATCCTATGAGAAGAGCTGGCTTCTTAATTATTCATGACTGCGCGTGCTTTCCCAAGGCAAGGCAGACCTGCCAGTGCCAAGCTGTGAGATCCTACCTTGATGATCGGGTGAAACCGCGTTCACGGACCCACAGCACACAGTATTTAGCCGTTCATGAAGGGTCGTATGTGTTTGATTCTATGATCCACAGAATTGTTTGCTTGTTTTTCCCCGTGATGCTGTCAGGGCCGATACAGCAAAGCTGTTTTTGTGCAGCAAGCATTTTTGTCGGGAGAGCAGTACGAGAATTGGAGAATGGCGTACTTTGCCCTTTACCAGTGGAGTTCGTTCACATTTAGACACATCGCCGTGCTGCTGTGTTCACCTAAATCCTCTAGATTACCAACAGGGCTAATGTTTAAAATAGACAGGGCAAGAGACCTGCTGCACTGAGTCTCCATTCAGACCAAGGGATTGAGGGAAAAGTCCTCATTTATAGTGTTTATATGAACACGATTATCTTTATAATAATATAAATTGTGGTTGAGTGTATATGAAAATACAAATGACAAATACAGCAGGGCATTAAATTACAGTTTATTTTTTTACATTTAAAGTTTGTGAACTATAAAATCATGCGTCTCCTCACGGTTTGTGTCTCATTTTGTGAGCCAACTGACAACAGTTGTTAGCTCCCCACCTTCTCCCCTGCTCTGCTGGCCACGCCCACTCCTGCCTCTGATGGCGGAGCTCCACGCCCATTATGATGCTTTTTTTTTTTAATTCTGAGGTAGACTTGAATTGAAAGTGGGGGGTGTCATGACCCTTTAAGGAACATCCTTAACAGTGCTCAAATATAAAGTACAAAAAAAGATATTCTGAACAATGTTGGTGAAAAGCAGCCATTGGCAGCATCTATGGTAGAAACAAATATGGAACAAATTGGAGGACGAGAAAATTATGACTATTTTCATTTTTGGGAACACACACACACACACACACACACACACCTGAAAGAACTGCAGCTGTTTCTCTGGACTCCAGAAGAAGGGGTGTTTAAGAATTGACGCTGCTGAAGGACGGCTCTCTGGCTCTGCACTGATCATCCGCTCGATCAGATCTCTGCCAATCACGTCCTCTGCAAACACAAAAAGCAAATATCAAGTATCACTGCATGTACACTGCAGAAATAAAAAAATTTTAGGGGTTGAATTTAGATTTTTATTGAGGATCAATTTTGAATTCATGAATTGACATCTATACAACACTAGTCATTAGCTGACGCTAGTCATTTTAAAACATTCAAATGCAAACCCAATTTTCAGAAACAAAAATCCAGCGATGGGATATTCAATCAAATGTGGCAAGAGTGAAAAACGTTTCTTGTCAAATTTTTTTCCCAGACTAATGCTGGGTTCACACCAAATGCAGAGCAACGAATGACTCACTCTAGATCAACCGGGTTATGCTTTTCACATCAAGCCAACTAAATTTGCATTATTTAAACTGGCACTGTAGATGCGATTGACACTAATTCGACATGCAAACAAATCGTTATCATTGATATAAACATTTCTGTGTGAAGTTTTACAAAAATATTTGAATTTGTTCATAAAAGGAAAGCATGCATACACATACTTGAATGCAGAAAAACACACCATGTATATCCTCCATGAAGTGATCGAGGTTATAGACTCCAGAGAGGATGTTAGCCTGACGCCGCAGAGTGTCACCGAACGGATGCTGTCCTTTAGACGTCACATAATAAAACACACATCCGGCAGAAAAAATGTCCACCGCACTCGTCTGAAGACAGAAAAACAGAAGAGCAATGAATTACAGTAAAATATAGCAACATAAACTGTGCATTTTTCCACATCTGAAATATTCTGAAATTTTTATAAGAAATCAGCTTATACAGTTGAAGACAAAATTATTAGTCCTGTAAAATTAATTTCAAATATTTGCAAAGTAATGTTTAACAGAGCAAGGGCATTTTTTTTTACAGTATTTCCTATAATGTTTTTTCTTCTAGAGAAAGTTGTATTTATTTTAGTTTGGCTGGAGAAAAAAAGTAGTTTTAATTTCATTTCATTTTGAGGTCAATATCATTAGCCCCTTAAGATTTTTCCCCCCCGATTGGCTACAGAACAAACCATTGTTCTCCAATGACTGGCCTAATTACCTGAAAGATTATGTGCATTTTAGTTCAGCTGCATTTACATTGATTAAACTCTGATGTGATATGATGGGGTGACCTGTGCCTCAACCCCCACAAGCTGATAGGTGTGAACTAAATGACCCTTTTACAATCTCAATGGGTACTAGCAAAACAACAGCTGAAACAACAGAATGGTTTGTTTGATGCTAGTATAAAGTACTGTCTCAGACAGTACTTTGGGTTAAGTTACTTGAAGACCGACAGGCTAACATCACTGCTGAGGAACTGCACTATTGATTGTCTTAAATAAAGTCTTCTCCCCGTAAGAACTTTGGTCAGCTTACTTATTTTATGTATTAGAGACATCTGATACATTGGTGAGCCACCCGAGAATGGTTTAGCCAAATACAGCAAGCATAACCTAGTTAAGCCTTTAAATTGCCTTGATAAAGATAAATTGTATCTTGCAATATAGCTAGTAAAATATTATGGACTGACTTCATAGCAAAGCCAAAACAATTTCATTCAGTCATTCGTTCATTTCTTCATCTTAGTCTTTATATCAGAGGTCGCCACAGTGGAATGAACCGCCCACTATTCCAGTATATGTTTTACGCATTGGATGCCCTTCCAGTTGCAATCCTCATTTCTTCAGCTTAGTCTTTATATCAAAGGTCGCCACAGTGGAATGAACCGCCAACTATTCCAGCACATGTTTTACGCATTGGATGCCCTTCCAGTCGCAATCTTCATTCCTTCAGCTTAGTCTTTATATCAAAGGTCGCCACAGTGGAATGAACCGCCAACTATTCCAGCATATGTTTTACACATTGGATGCCCTTCCAGGCGCAACCCAGTGCTGGGAAACACTGGGTTGCAACTGTAAACACATTAACACACACACTCATACACTATAGCCATTGAACTGTGGGGGTAACCAGAGCACCAGGAGGAAACCCACACGAACATGGAAAGAACATGCAAACTCCACACAGAAATGCCAACTAGCTCAGCTGGGACTCAAACCAGTGACCTATTTGCTGTGAGGTGACAGTGCTAACCACTGATAACTAAATTGGCCGTAGTGTATGAGTGTGTATGGATGTTTCCCAGTACTGGGTTGCAGCTGGAAGGGCATCCGCTGTGTTAAACATATGCCAGAATAGTAGGCGGTTCATTCCGCTGTGGCAACCCCTGATAAATAAAGGGACTATGCCGAAGGAAAATGAATGAGTGAATGAACTAGTTTCAGTTCTCCTAAAATAAGTGCTAGACTGTGACATTTGAATGCCTCTATAAATACGTCCTGCTAGATAATTATATTTTTACATCCCTTTTTCTCTTCTGAATACCATTAAATTGAAAAGATTTGTTGTTGAGTGAAGGGAAATCACATGCACATTCAGTAAAGCTGTACAGTATCTGTTTTTTACAGTTAACATGTGCTGTGTGTGTGCGTGTTTGTATGCATATTCACTAGCAGACATACAGGGTTCCCTTTCGGAGCGTTTATGAGTAATTCAGGGGCGATCCAGCCTTCGGTTCCAGGTATCCCGGAGCGTAGGCTGAAACTGTGCCGACCATCTGGAAGCTTCTTACACAAGCCGAAATCTGAGATGAGCGCCCGCACTCGACCCAGTGCCCCGGGCAGAGACAGCAAAATATTCCTGGGCTTTAAATCCCTGTGGACTGAGAATGAGAGGGTCATGTGATTACTAATGGCAGTGTGCTTGCATGCAGTTACTCAATAGCAATTAATAAACATCAGTGCAATGCAACACCGCCATGTGCAACTGTGATGCATTATGATATAGTTTCAGAAAGGGATGTTGAGGTTGGACTCATATTTTGGTGCTGACCGATGTTGAGGGAGTGCAGGTGACTGAGGCCACACATGGTCTGCTCCAGCAGGGACACCGGGTTCAGCTCTGAGTGAGGACAGCTCGGGTCTTCTACATACTGCATCCAGCAACAACAGAAAAACAGAGTAAGATGCATGTGGTTATACTGCTTATTACACCAGGGTTTTTTCTTTTTTTAGATCTTACAGGCTAGATAAATTAAAATCTGATGAACTTAAAATTGATTGTTTATACTTTTTGTGTTAAACATTTTAATTAAACCTTTAATATTTTTATTGTTTATAAAAATATTCATGATTATTTTATAATAATTTACATGAGTTAATTAAAAATTAATTTATATATTATGATTTTATGTTCATTTTATTCTAACGTCTTAATGTTGGATTATTTATTAAAATGTTACGTTCTAAAATAAATTATAATTAATCATTATTTTTATTATTATTAATTATTATTTATACTTTTCATCTCTGTTCTTAATTAATATATTTGTCCCGTTTTTTTTATATCTAAAAATCTTAAATCATAAATCCTAAACTATCTATTGCATATTTGTATTTTAAAGTGCATTTTACTTGACATCTGCACATATTTTCTGAGCCTTAATCTCTCTAATTTCATAAAATTTGTTCATGTTTTTGATAAATATGTCAGATGATTTAATTTTAATGGCTAAATGTAAATAAACAAAAAAAATGCATATATTTAGAGTTTAAGTCAGAAATATTAGCCTCCCTGAATTATTAGCCCGTTTATTTACCCTGTTAATTCTAAACATAATAGTTTTATTAACTCATTTCTAATAACTGATTTATTTTATCTTTGCAATGATGACAGTAAATAATATTTGACTAGATATTTTTCAAGATACTTCTATACAGCTTAAAGTGACATTTAAAGGCTTAACTACAGGTTAATTACGGTTACTTGGCAGATTAGGGTAATTAGGCAAGTTATTGTATAACAATGGTTTGTTCTGTAGACTATCAAAAACATATAGCCTAAAGGGGCTAATAACATTGACCTTAAAATGGTTTTAAAATATTGAAAAAAAAATTGCTTTTATTCTAGCCAAAATAAAACAAATAACACATTATTTATAAGAAAAAACATGATCAGACATACTGTGAAAATTTCCTTGCTCTGTTAATCATCATTTGGGAAATATTTAAAATAAAAAATAAAAAATCAAAGGGGGGCTAATAATTCTGACTTCAACTGTATGTGTGTTTGTGTATATATATATATATATATATATATATATATATATATATTGCTGAAGAATAAAATTGAAGTAAAAAATTTAACTGTAATCTTATTGTATACAATGAAATAAATAATTAAATAGAAAACCAAAAATATGCAGTAAAAGCAAAAACTAATTCTAATTATTAGCATAACTATTAGTACATTAGTTTAAGACATTTAAAATTGAAGTTAAAAAAGTTTTGTGTCTGCCATGAGTTGACCTTTACATTATGATTACAAAATTCAATTTTACTGTTTTATGCAAAGCAATTGCTCAAATCATGATGTGCCAACCATCCGTAAAACTTTGAGGACAACAAACACCTAATACCCAAAAACACTTCATTAAAAATGTACTGTATTATTCATTAATTTTCCTTCTGCTTATTCCCTTTATTCATCAGGGGTCGCCACAGCGGAATGAACCGCCAACTTATACAGCATATGTTTTACACAGCGAATGCCCTTCTAGCTGCAACCCAATAATGGGAACCACCCATAGATTCTTGGACTGACACTCATACACTATGGCCAATTCAGTTTATTCAATTCACCAATAGTGCAATTGTTTGGACTTGTGGGGGAAACCGGAGCACCCGGAGGAAACCCACGCCAGCACGGGGAGAACATGCAAACTCCACACAGAAATGCCAACTGGCCCAGCCGGAACTCGAACCAGTGACCTTCTTGCTGTAAGGTGACTAACCACTGAGCCACTGTGCCTCCCGTACTTTATTATTGTTACATGTAAATTATAATTTATTTTGTAAGAACAATATATACTGTGGAACTACAGGTTAAATACTGCCAAACCTTTATATAACTCTCTCACCTTTCTGATTTTGACTGTAATGTAATGATGTGCACCTTTTGTCAAGCTGCTTTGGAATAATAATCATTATGAACTAGACGCAAACACACACATACACACACCTGCTGGAGTGTTGCAGCACACAGCTCTATGGCAATGTAAGTGAACTGTCTGTCCCGCTCTGTGCAGAAGTAACGGATCACATTGGGATGTTCATCTGATTCCCGCAGAAGTTGAACCTCTCGCTCTGCAAACTCCACACACTCCGGCAGGATTCGCTTCACCGCCACACGCCGACCGTCAAAATGACCCCTGCGGGTAATGCATAAAAGCAGTGAATTAAGGCTTCTAACCAACTAGACGTGGTGATATTCAGTAAAACAATATATAGTGATCATGAAAATACAGCGACTAATTATTTACATTTTCAAAATGACTTTAAATAGCACCTGAGATGCTAAATCAACTTTTGGAAATGGTTTGGACAGAACTGTTTGTAAGTACAGTCAGAGGCGTAGCCAGCAATTTCGAGCCCTATGCACCAAAATTTCACAAAGGCATTAAAATAGGATCAAAGTCTTAGTGATTTTAAGGCCCACCGCATCGTGATGTAGGAATACGGATTGACTAACAGGGCGTATTAACATCTCTCCATAGTAACATGTTTAAACATGTCCACTGAACAGGATTTGCAAAGAGGCTGGGATTAAAAGATCTGTTCCAACTCTCTGTGATCAGCTGCAAAGTTTAAAACGTTTACATAACAGTGCATGTTTGTAATAATCTAAAGACAGTAAAATCACTATGTAATTCACAACTGGTGAAATCAGCATTGACATAGTGTCAGTTCAACAATATATACGAGGAGCAACAAAATACAAAGCATATACAGTGCAAAGTTAAACGTGTGTGGTAGTGTGTACTGAAAACTTTGTAACGGAATTTGTGTGTGACTCATCATTTCAGAAAGGCTTGAATAAACTCCAGATCAAATAAATTAGTTAATATTTATCAATCTTAGGTGATGTTTTGATCTTAGTTACATTTAATAACTCATTAAAAATCAAAAGTCTTGCCTGTTTTATTTAATGGAGCTAATGGCTAACAAATTCAATTGCATTTTAAGCTAACATTAGTATAATAACTGTCTACTTCTTACAACTGATGTTACTTAATACATTAACCGATATTTACTAGTGAGTCTTTATTGTAAAGTGTTACATATTGTACTTTACAATCCTTTTGTGCTTTTATTTGGTTAATATAAACATTTTCGAGGGCAGTGGCGCAGTAGGTAGTGCTGTCGCCTCACAGCAAGAAGGTCGCTGGGTCGCTGGTTCGAACCTCGGCTCAGTTGCCGTTTCTGCGTGGGTTTCATCCGGGTGCTCCAGTTTCCCCCACAGTCCAAAGACATGTGGTACAGGTGAATTGGGTAGGCTAAATTGTCAGTAGTGTATGAGAATGTGAATGTGTGTGTGGATGTTTCTCAGAGATGGGTTGCGGCTGGAAGGGCATCCGCTGCGTAAAAACTTGCTGGATCATTGGCGGTTCATTCCGCTGTGGCGACCCCGGATTAATAAAGGGACTAAGCCGACAAGAAAATGAATGAATGAATAAACATTTTCGGTCGGTTTAATAGCCTAATGGTTAGCACGCTGACATATGGTGCAGTAGCTTTTCAGGGCATCGTTCGAATACTGGCTCGAGGACATTTCCCGTCCCTATCTCCTCTCTCTCCCACTTCGCTAACTGTCTGAAATACTGTACTATCCACTTAATAAAAAGGCAAAAATGGCAAAAATAAATCTTTAAAAAAAAAAAAAAAAAAAAAAAAAAAAAATATATATATATATATATATATATATATATATATATATATATATATATATATAAACATTTACGTACAATAAGATAAGGCATTATACTGTATATTGTAATACTTTCATTAATTATCAAAAATTTGACACCGTCACATATCTATGAACAACCAATCAAACAAACCTGTGTAAAACGAGTACCCACCGAAACACGAAGGTTCCTTCTGTCCCATGACCCAACACCTCAGTGGGACTGAAAGAGATTTTACCAACTTCCACCACGTCAGCCTGTTCATCTGAAGAATATACATCACAATTTAAAAAAAAACTCTAATTAAAATGTACAATAGATAACAAAAAGATAATGAAATATGTAATAAGCAGAAAACAACATATAGGTTTGTAAATTAAATAAACTATATATGACGATAAAGGGGAAAAACTATGGGAATCACTGATAAAACACAAGCAGCAACTCATTTCTGTGTACATGATTCATAAAATGATGCTTGCAATATTATAGTTGATAAAGGCTGAACAGATTTGATTTAATTTCTATTTACACAGAAATTTGAATTCTGTTTTGTGAATGAAGCTCAATGGTTCTAATGAAGATATAGAACTGTTTTCATACTCTGTGATTGGCTGGCTGCTGTTACAGAGGCGGAGTCTTTGCTTGAGAATGGCTGAGTTTGATTGGATGCAACAGAACTGGTCTTTTCTGAGCGACTGCTGTTGCTGTAAGATGATGTTGAGGGCGGAGTGTTCAGTTCTGTAGAAGCGCTGTAATTGGTCAGACCAGAAAGTGGGGTGGAGTCCACTGGCTCTTCAGATCTTTGGGATTTTTTTACAGGCTGAAAAACAGAAAGCAGTTTGTTTTATACATTTGCTTCAGTTGTTAAGCTTTAAAAAGGGCCATTTAGCATTATTTTCCCTCTTATATTAGATTTGACTACTTGACAAAAAAAAAACTCCAAGCAAAAAATAATAATCAATTTTTTACCATCAATTACAGAAGACAACCACTAAATATCATTCAGTGTAACAATAGTTTATTTACAGAAATCTTTTGGTGTATTTATTTTGACAATTTAAAAGGCTTTAGAAGGCCCACATACAGCAACAACTGCATCGGCCCATTGCTCATACATATAATTTAATTACGTAAGCACACATCAGTAAGTATGTTGTTTCATTTTACATCTGTTAAAGGTCACAATGAAAAAAGTGTTACCAAAATGGCAGAAAATACAGTTTTTGCTATGTTTTAGCGTTAGTCTATAAGTAAAAAGACAGCAGAAGTAATTTTTGAAAAACAGCCGTTAAACTGGATACAAAACATTACACTAAATATTGTAGGCTATTAACTGGCCACTTATATTCATATCAAATAATAAGCTTGACCTAAAAAGGTAATCTTATTTTAATAAAAAATATATTTACTGAATTATTTTAAAAAATCGTCTAAAATTAAAACAATTAAATAAAAAATTATAATATTATTTTTTAAAAATTAGGTGAACTTATTAAATATTTATGAAATATTAACTCATTTTGTAGCAGCACCACACTGTCCACAGTGTCCTTTTTGAAGATGTCAATAACTTATGAATGACTATCAAATGAGGTCCTAATCATGTTACACAGAATGACGTCTAACAATCTGCATATGTAGGACAAAGGACCCCTGAGATGTATGCAGACAACTTAAGAATGTGACTTTAGATGAACACTGATACACATTTATTTAAAGTAGGTATGCTCAGTAAATGTATTTCTGACCCATTTGTGTGTGAGCAGGAAGGTGATCCAGGCTCCTAGCAGCAGCGTCACCACCAGCACTGTCATGGGCTCAGAGCTCAGCGAGTCTGGCAGCACTGGAGAAGAGCTCTGCTTCCTAACTGGTGGCAACTGGAAAACACAGAACAGATTTGTGCTTCTCTAAGAAAGCTTGCTGGCTCACCACACATGACATTTGCAAACTAATGACAGTTGAAGTCAGAATGATTAGATACAAAGACTTGCACAGATGAGTTTTATTGGCTTTGGACTTACTGGGTGAGAGGGAGAGCGGTAAGAAGAGCCGGATCCTCGAGGTGGGATGACATCACCAGAGCGCTGCAGGTTCTCTGGGAAATCTCTCAACATGGTGGTGTGAGCCAGAGGAGGGATTTCATGGTGACCTGTTCATATACATACACACACACATACAGTTTAAGTTAGAATCATTGGCCCTCCTGAGTTATTGGCCTCCTGTATTTTTCCAGGTGGATCATACCAATGAGCAGCCACTGATTCTGCAGAGAGCTGCTGCTTCCTGGTGGATATTTGACGTCAGTGCTGGGTGTGATCTCGCACTCAGGCCGTCCATTACCCATTGTGACGCCTGCTGTCATCGGCCCCTCAATGCGTGCAAGAGTGAGACCCTTAGGCTGCCGTGAGTGCACAATATGGTTAATCAGATGGACGTTTTGCTACTGGTTTTGACTAATGGAGAGCTGAACTTACCACTATTGCGACACCTTGATGGACAAGGGAGGCAGAAGCATACAGATGAGACTCCGTCTTCCCAACATACAGAGTGGGACTAGCAAAATATACACACAAACAAATATGCTTAATTCAATATGAAAAATAACAAAGGTGGTCGCTTTTAGAAAGAGACGCAGGTTTGATATCAAATGCTGAGAAACAAAAGTCTGGATTTTGATTTTTAGGTGTACCATCTCTTTTTTGTTTTTGAAATCATTCAATAGTTTTACATCCATCCAAAGTCAAAATGTAAAATTTACTCAAAATTTTATTTGAATTTTCCAACACCTTTCTCATAGTGTCTGAAATGTCTAGTTTAAGGATCCAGTTTCTCTAAACCCCTCTTTTTTGTTTGAATATTATTTATTAATTTTTTAAATATGTCTATTCACTCTTAAGATTAGGAATTTACAGTTGATAATAACCTTAAGATGAGTGAATAAACACCTAAATATCATCTGAATTTCAGCTTTAAATTCTTCCTCAGCACTTCTACACACAGTTAGGTTAACAATAATAATTGACCATAACAATTTGAGCCTAAAACCACAACCTTGCAATTCAACCAGCAAAGTCGACTTACTTTTAAAGAGCAGAAATCAGTGTCTTCTCGGCATGTAGACAACAAAAAATGTGAACTTTTCAAAGCATCAGCTACACAGATTGAGGGCCTAAGCAGACACTGATTGCAGAAAGCCAATGAAAACCACAGACTGGCAATTTGCAAATGTGTACTAAACCTACATATGTACGTTCAGGCAGTTCATCCTCTTTCTTCTTTCATTTTTTAAGCTTTTACTTTGAAACTCTGCAAACTTTTTCAATTCACAAACAGCTACATGAAAGATAATATGTCATGAGACGGTCTTACACTAGCTGAGTCTTCGTGCTGTGGCTCTCCTTTGTGAACTGGTAGGTCCACTTCATGGTGTGGGACTGTGTGTTTTCTGCGGTGAAGGTCAGATAGCGCAGGGTTTCTGTTGCGACGGTCAGATGAGGGGCTCGACGGAGACTGTCCTGACTCCACAAGTAAAATCCAGCCACCGGAGAATCAAATTTCTGCATCCACAAAACCTCGCCAGAGTCTCGATCCACCGTAACCACCAGACCATCGCCACTCGATGCAAAGTGCGACATCTCTGGGATGAACAGACATACGCAACTATGATGAAATCAAAAAACACCACAAGTAATATCTATTCTATATATACAGTTGAAGTCAGAATTATTAGCCCTCCTGAATTATTAGCCCCCTGAATATTTTTTCCAAAATTTCTGTTTAACAGAGAGCAGATTTTTTTCAACACATTTCTAAACATATTAGTTTTAATAACTCATATTCAATAACCGATTTATCTTATCTTTGACATGATGACATTACATAATATTTTACTAGATGTTTTTCAAGACACTTCTATACAGCTTAAAGTGACATTTAAAGGCTTAATTAGGTTAATTAGGCAAGTTATTGAATAAAGATGGTTTCTTGGACAATAGATGGAAATCTGTTCTTCTGGAGCCGTTTCACTTTAAATAAACAGTTAACGGTCAGTAATATGTTTTATTAATATTATTTACAAAAGAAATAAATGGTATATATAAGCAGCAAATAAATTAGCAAACAGTTCATCTTATTAAAATCAATAGCTATTATAAAGAATTAGTATCAAGTTATCAAATCTCATTAACCTTTTTCTTGTATAACTTAAACATTTGGGGCAGTTTCGAGAACACATTGGAGAGTGCCGACGTTCTGTTAAGAAACCGCCCAAATTATCTATACCCGCCTATGTCATTTTAAACCCACACAATCGAGTTCAAAACTGCCCAAGCTGGCAATACTGGGGGCAACGGCATCTGTAATGAAAACGAAGGGAATCCCATCGTTTATATATTTATTTCAAACTGTTTTCATATATTAATAAACCGAAAGCACAGAACGGACTCACATTTAAGAGCGTTAGGGCGTCACCTGGTGGTTCGGCGGTATGGTTGCGCAGAGGATAGAGGCTCGGCTCTTTAATGCTTGTTGCCACCCTTCAGAGAAAGACTGAAAATATGGGAGAAATAATGGAAAATACCTTTGTGGGATGATAGCGGGATAGAACTGTAAAATACAGGAGAATCCTGGGAAAAACGGGGTTGACAGATATGCCTTAAAATGGTTTTTAAAAAATTGAAAACTGCTTTTATTCTAGCTAAAATAAAACAAATGAGACTTTCACCAGAAGAAAAAATATTATAGGAAAAATTCCTTACTCTGTTAAACATTATTTGGCAAATAGTTGAAAAAATAAAACAAAATCACTGGAGGGCTAAGCATGTTGACCTCAACTGTATGTAAATATCTACAATCATGCATTGTGAGGAACCTACTATATTCATATTTTTTGTCGTCATATAGAGGAGCTGAGTAATCGTTGTATGTGGCATTCCAGCGGAGCTCCTGAGTCTTCGTGTCATACATGGTGATCATATATTCTGCAGAGAGAAACATGTATGAAATGCATATCAATACATATGCATAGAAAAGAGTGTGCTGTGTGTGTGTTCAAACCTGTGCGACCGATGTACAACAGAGGTGCAGAGGGACAGATGGAGTCTGAAGACGAGGTGCTCAAACTTGTCTGTTTTTCACCTGTCTGAGGATCGACCACAAACCAGGTGTCCTGTTTTTTACCTGGGAATACACAGAGTTCAATAAAGGAGAGCATACAAGGATGTACAGCTTTTTATCATTTTATAACCATACTATCAGGCTTCCCACACCCATTGACTAATGCTATCAAACCAACCCCTGCATACATTGCTAGACAGCGCACAATATGTTCCAGGAGGTAAGTTTTTTGCAGTTTTTGTTTCCGCAAATCCACCAGAGGCCGCTGTGTATGCTTTTTCAGATCTCAAATTTCTCTCGTGAGTGCAATTTGTGCCTGCTGTTCTCGCATAAATCCACCAGAGGCCGCTGTTGACTGACTGACAAACCAAACAAACCCCCGCCTTTCCCAAACCCAACCAATAGTGTTTTCAAAAGCACCGATTGACTCTTCCACCCACTCCCCTAAACCCAAGCAACATGGTTTTCTAAAACAATTCAGAAAAAGAAAAGCCCACACAGCTGCCTGATTTTAACCACATTTTCAGATCTTATCATGTTCTCACCCTGTTGTTTAATTGTTTATTTTTATTTTTTTGCCTTTTGTTTTTGTTTTACCTGCTTTCCGGAACTGTTTTTTGCTGTACTCATTGCGGTCAACTTCTGTCTATATCTCAAATTTGCCGACGTACGCAGCAAGCCACTGGGCAAACTGGTAACAGCAGGAAAGCCGTCCACGTGGAGGTAAGCGGTCAGCTGGTATCCGCAAAAAGGAACAGAAGCCGTCGGTGGCGTCATACCGCCCCGTAGCATTCGTTTTGAAGATTAAATGCAGCCATACAGTACAAACCTCTGACTACAAAATTTGTGCTCTCTAGAAATGTATACAGGCGTATGTTTTCACAATGAGCCTGTGCTGCATCAAACACAGACTAAAATCCAAATTGAGTTGATTATGTGTTGTAGTATTCTGTGAAAACAGAATTGAATTTCAAGGCAGGACACAACAGGCAAAAACACTGTGGCGACCCCTAATAAATAAGGGACTAAGCCGAAGTAAAATGAATGAATGAATGTATTAGTTCAGGTTATATTAGCTCATTTCCCTAACTTTCTTTCTTCAAATAAAATCTAACATGACCACAGCAATCCTTCACTGCCACAAAACACAGTTATCAAACACGAATTTGACCATAAAACATCATAAAGAGGTTTGCTGATACCGGTGTAGAGTACTCCATCTGAGCTCCTGCAGGGAGACGACTGCACCAGCTCTTGAATAGTGAATGGCAGTTTCTGAGGAAAACATTCATATAAATGTCAAGAGCTGTCACTCTCTGATAAACACATCCACAGCCACGCTCACAATACTCACCATCAGACCTTCTTTCCTCTTTCCTCCGAGAACATACAGACTTCCGTCATTGGGGTCTGGTAAAAAGCCTGGCCTACAAGAGGAAGCGGACACGACTTTAAAGTCTGATCAAGAAAAAGTTTGCATTACAAACAAGACTGAAAGCACACCTGAATGCAGGACTAAACTTTTTTTGTATTTGGCCTAAATCAGAGATTTTTAAGTGTTGGGTGGTCTGTGGAAATATTTATGAAAAATGAAACGAAATGCCATTTTTCACAGTATACATTTGCCCTTTCTACACCACCTGACAAAAGTCTAGTTGCCTATCCAAGTTTTAGTACCAACAAATAATAACTTGACTTTTAGTTGATCATCACAAGGCAAAGGCCTCTCGATTACGCTTATTTGACTTGTTTCCTAAAAAATATGATCATGCCTTAATTTTTAGCTATTCAAATAGGACAGTAAGGTCTGAGTTTGCTTAGACAAACGTCTTGTTAATTAACAGAAATAATGTCCAGTATAGAATATAAAGTCATGGTGCTGTGGAAAAAGAATTAATATTGTGTCTGACTCCCATGAGCTTGGAGGACTGCATCCATGCATCTCTGCAATCACTTATTAATAAAGTCATCTGGAATGGCAAAGAAAATGTACTTGCCGGACTCCCAGAGTTCATCAAGATTTTTTGGATTCATCTTCAATGCCTCCTCCTTCATCTTACTCTAGACATGCTCAATAATGTTCATTTCTGGTGACTGGGCTGGCCAATCCTGGAGCACCTTGACCTTCTTTGTATGAGAAGGAGCGCTATCCTGCTGAACAATTAGCTCTCTCCTGAGGTTTGTAATGTAATGGGCAGCACAAATGTCTTGATATCTCAGACTGTTGATGTTGCCATCCACTCTGCAGATTTCTCGCACACCCACACACTGAATCTAAGCCCAAACCATGATTTTTCCTTCACTAAACTTGACTGATTTCTGTGAGAATCTTGGGTCCATGTGCGTTTCAATAGGTTTTCTGCAGTCTTTGTGATGATTGGGATGCAGTTCAAATGATGATTCATCGGAAAATCTACCTTCTGCCACTTTTCCAAATGATTAACTAGAAGTCAAGTTATTATTTGTTGCTCTTACAACTGGGATGGATGGCAAGACTTTTGCCAGGCAGTGTACATGAAAGATGTCTATTTTAGGAGTGGCCCCTTGAATAAGGATTACCATTTTTGAGGCTCCATAGCACATTTATTATTACCATAGTCATTAATTTATATTAAAAAAGTAACAACTAAATAAATAAAAAAACAATAGCTTTTCTTAACATCAAATAAATAAAATGGAATGTTTCTTGACACTGAAGACTAGATGCTGAAAATCCAGCTTTGGGATCACAAGAATAAATAACGCTTTGATTGTAATACATATTTAAATTCTAATCATTATATGTTTGCAAATTTGGCCAAAATAAGAGTCTTTTTAAAAAACTAAAAAAAGTAATTCTAAACTTTTGAATGGTCATGAATATTCATGTGTTTTCTGAAGCTGTTAAAACACTTACTCTTGGAAATACTCGGGAACCTGTATAATGGGATCTGAAAGAGAAAGTGAAATGGTTATGAATGTTTTTGGCCAACCCAAGCTCATTCTGATTACGTACCCCTATACACATTTCTGGAGAGTCCCAGGAGCTACTTTTTTTGTTGTTGTTGTTTTTTTTACGTTTTTGCAAATCCACCAGAGGCCCCTGTGTACACTTTTTCAGATCTCAAATTTCTCTCGCTAGAGCCATTCACGCCTGCTGATCTCTCGTAAGTCCACCAAAGGCTGGTGTCAACTGACTGACTGACTGACTGACTGATCAAACGACTGACCCACCCTCTCTCTGCCCTAAACCCATCCAATAGTGTTTTAAAAAGCCCTGATTGACCAGCGCCCATCCCCTTTCCTAAAATCAATGGACAGTTTTAAAAAGCAATCCAGAAAAAGAAAAGCCCCACGCCACGTTTTCAGATTTTACCACATTCTCACTCTGTTATTTACTTGTTTATTTTATTTTTTGGATTCTGTTTTTGTCTTACCCGCTTTCTGCAACTCTTCTTTACCAGACTCGAACCCCAATGTCACAGTTAATTCAGCTTTGTGTCTCAAGTCCACCGATGTTTGTGGCGAGCTACTGGTCAAACTGGTAACAGTGGGAAAGCTGCCCATACAGAGGTAAGTTGTCAGCTGGTAGCGCAAAAAGGAACAGCGTCATACCACCCCGTAGCGTTCATTTTAAAGACGAAAGGCAGCCATACATAGTTTTGGCTACATAATTCGCAATCTCCAGAAATGTAAACGGTTTCAGAATGAGCTTATGTCATTTTTGGCACATAGTAAAACAACTATTGCACTACTTTTTTCCCCAAGACAGCACTACTCCAACATAATGCCATTCTTTTGTAATATACATAATACCATTCAAAAGTGAGTAAACCTGTTGCTTTAAAAGTGATTAGATGGTTTAAAAAGTGAGTAAACCAATTGCTTTTAAAGTTATTAGATGACTTTACTTTAAAAACCTTAAAGTTTTAAGTAAATTAACTGTGCATCATTAAAACTAAGTCAGCTTAAAGAAACACTTTTTTTTTTAAAGGCTCACTTGCTTCATTAAGTTTTTAGTTTTCCAGGTCTGACAGGAACACGTTTAGCTTAGATTAGCATAGATTATTAAATCAGATTAGACCATTACATCTCACTCTAAAATGACCAAAGGTTTTCGATAATTTTCCTATTTAAATGCTGACTCTTCTGTTATTGCATTGCGTACTTATGACAAGTTGCAGTTTTCTAGGCTGATATGGCTAGGAACTATATTCTCATTCCAGTTTAACAACGATAGTGCTCAGATTCTAAGCTGCTGATGCAAGTGCAGGGCTTGGTGATAGGGACTATTTTCAGGTGCTGTGTAATATCATCATTGCGCCGGCTGCAGCCATGGTATGGCAGCAAAGTTCTGTGATTAGTGAGATGCTAATGATTTAATACAATTCAATGATCTATCCTAAGCTAAGCTAAGCTAAGCAAAGCAAAAAGTGCTATCGCTGGACCTGGAGATCAGCTGAATGGATTAGAAGAAATGGTAAAACTTAACTGCTTAACTACAGGGCAGTGGTTCTCAAAGTGGGGGTTGGGACCCCCTGGGGGGGTCGCGTAACAATGACAAGGGGTCGCTTGGTGATTTCCAAAACTCAAATAAGTTTTATTAAACTATTTGAATGACCATATTTTACTCATAACCCACAGAGGATAATAGTTGTGTTAAATAAACAACAACATACAAATAAACAAAAACTAAATTATTATTATATTATTATTATCTATTATAAACAAACAAAAATCAGTCATCAGCCTTTACGTTTTATATTATAAATTAATAAATGAATATAAAAAATATATATGGTTAATAGACTGTTGCATTTATGTGTTGTCAATGTGCTCATGTTTATACATGCCTATAGTTGTGTCTACAATGTTTATATATTTACAGTGTAACCACCTTGAAAAATGGGGGTCGCGAGTCACTGACATTGTTATTTTGGGGGTCGCGGGCTGAAAAGTCTGGGAACCCCTGCTATAGGGGAGTTGTAAAATGAGCCTAGTTTCCAAAAAAAAAAAAAGTGTTCCTTTGAGAGTTCCAAGTTACAATGGGTTTACTCTTTTTACAATGGATTGACTTTTTTAAGGGCAATGGGTTTACTCGCTTTTTTTAAAGTAAAGTAACTAATGGCTTTTCACTGTGTATTATCACTTGTCATATTGCACATATACATAAGTACCTTCCTTCAGTGTCCATTTGATGTCTCCGGTCTGTTTGCTGACGGCATGCAGACTTCCATCCAGTGTAGAAACAAAGAGCAGAGACTCGGGCAGAGAGACGGAGCTTCCTCCCTCACACTGAAGAGAAAACCAGGAAAACACCTTTTCACACACTGCAGATATCACACTATTTAAAACTCATTGCTACCTGATATGTAGCTGTAAATACACACAGTGTGTGTGTTCTCTTGTGGGCGTTGTGTACAGGTTTGGCTACACTTGTGACACACAACAATTTTAAAACCATTTAGCCTAATATCTTATAATGTCAGCACGTCTGTAAGGGTTATTTTAAGAGGAGGTGTGGTAAATATTATTATTTAGGTCTGAAAACTATCGTGTCTATAAGAGGTCTTCACTGTAGTGAAGAAGAAATGATTCTCCTGCTCAAGTGTTTTTGTCTTATTGTCTAAAAATGTGGGTTTACACAGGGCAATGTACAAAATGCAGGGTTCTAAACAATTCCTTCATGTTGTCCCAACACAAATTAAGTTAACTCAATTGTTTTTACAAATTTGTGTTGATGAAACATAAAACAATTAGCTCATTTTAAATAAGTAGTTTAAACAAACAGCAAACACTGATTTATTTTTTTTTGTGAAGGTAACACAATTGTTAGATTTTACAGACATTTTTAAGACTAAGTGATGATAACTGTTGACAGTTGACAAAAAAAGAAAGCTAAAGTATATCAAGATGAATTTATTGGTAACATTTTAGTTTAGGTCACAATTCATTGCTATTAATGCTGGCTTTTTACCTATTTTATTAAGATATTAACTGTTTATTAGTAGTAATAAAGTATGAGTTATTCTGCATCCCTAATCCTATACCTAAACCAACTTCTACACTTAAAATGCAGGGTTCTGCACAATTCCTTCATGTTGTCCAAACACAAATTGACTAAGTTAACTCAATTGTTTTTACAAATTTGTGTTGATGGAACATAAACAATTCATTTGTCTTCCAAAAACTCAAGAATTGTGTTGATTCAGCTCATTTTAAATAAGTAGATTGAACAAAAAGCAAACACTGATTTTTTTTTGTGAAGGTAACACAATTGTTAGATTTTACAGACATTTTTAAGACTAAGTAATGATGACTGCTGACAGTTGACAAAAAAAGAAAGCTGAAGTATATCAATATATATCTATTAACAATTTAGTTTAGGTCACAATTCATTGCTATTAATGCTGGCTTTTCACCTATATTATTAAGATATTTACTGTTTATTAGTAGTAATAAAGTATAAGTTATTCTGCATCCCTAATCCTATACCTAAACCCAACTTCTACACTAAAAATACTGGGTTCTGCACAATTCCTTCATGTTGTCCAAACAAATTGATTATGTTAACTCAATTGATTTTACATATTTGTGTTGATGGAACATAAACAATTAATCTGTCTCCCAAAAAACTGAAGAATTGTGTTGATTCAGCTCATTTTAAATAAGTAGTTTGAACAAAAAGCAAACACTGATTTGTTTTTTGTAAAGGTAACACAATTGTTAGATTTTACAGACATTTTTAAGACTAAGTGATGATGACTGTTGACAAAAAAAAGAAAGCTAAAGTATATCAAGATATATCTATTAACAATTTAGTTTAGGTCACAATTCATTGCTATCAATGCTGGATTTTTACCTTAATTATTAAGATATTTACTGTTTATTAGTAGTAAGTATGATCTTATTCTGCATCCCTAATCCTATACCTAAACCCAACTTCTATACTAAAAATACTGGGTTTTGGACAATTCCTTCATGTTGATCCAACACAAATTGATTAACTTAATGAAATTTCATCTGTATTTATATTATTTGTTTATATTTTATTTATGCTTGGCTCTTTTATTCTTGTTTATGTAAAGCAATTTGAATTGCCACTGAGTATGAATTGTGCTATAAATAAACATGCCTTGCCCTGCCTAATTGGTTTTACAAATTTAAGTGGATTGATTCAGATCTTTTTCTGTGTTTTTTACAGTGTAGCTTTACTGGCTTCTTGTGTGTTTGTATTAGAGAGAGCAGTTAACAGTCAACATCTTTTAACCAGGATATCCTTCTCCACCGCCGTTACCGCCACTCCTATATTTACCAAAAACTGCCTGACATTATATTGAAAATGTGTGAAAGAACAACTATAAAAAAGTTCATATCTATCAACTACTCCCATATTTGAATATTTTGCTTCAAATTTTGTAATCCTTTATGCATTTTTGAATATTGAACTCAATTAATTTATATTTTATTTTGTAACATACAATAAAGACCCTCAGAAATGTCTCTTTTGATGACACCATTCAGATCTTATCCTAACAACTCAATATTCATCTGAAAATAACTTAAATTGAAGTGTCTTACTTGTCATTTGGAACTATGTATCATGTTTTTTCCGGTTAATTCTTGCCAACAAATGTTATAAGACACAGGCCAAGTCAGTGATTCATAGAAACAGCAGCTTATTAACCCATGACTGTTCTCTTTCTGCACTCCTGTTATAACACACACACACACACACACACATATGCTGCACTCTGGAACAAAGCATCACGACCTGCGCGAGCTCTCCAGCACAAAGCCTATTAAGCGCGCTCTCGTGAAGGTCTCGTGCTCAGGTTTGTGTGATATGACACTATTGTAGGAGCATAAATTGAAATGAGCTGAACTATTGCAGGTTTAAATGTACAACTTCTTCCAGATTTGATGCTTAGATCATGGGTTTTCAAGTTCATAGCTGACATGGACAGTCCCCATTCAAAAATGTAAAAGCCATCAAGTTTCATGTACAGAAAAAGACGCGTTTTTAAATATGATTAATTCAGTAGAATTATAATGTAAAATATTATTTCGGAAAAAAAAACGTGCCTAGTGACCTTTTTTTAATTATTTTATTTATTTATTCATTATTTTTAATCATATTTTAAATGATATATGTATTTTAATCTTATTCATACTTTTTGTAATTAAATATTAATGGATTTTTGTTTATTTATTGATGTTTACTTGAATAAATCGATGGGTTATTAAATTTAATATTTTTATTTAATAAATGAAATTATGTATTAATTATTTATTGGCTTTTTATATAGTTTTTCTTCTTTAAATATTTCCGCAGATCCTAAGGCAAATTTGTCTAAAATTATCTCTTAACTTTAATAACTGGCAATGTTTATTAATGAAACTGATTAATAATAATAATTCTGCTATACATTTTTTAAATACTCTATTATCATTCTGTAATTAACATAATTTCTGATACATCTAATGAGAGTCAGCCTCCAGTATCTACTAAAAACTTTTTGAACAGACTCGTTCAAACGAACCGTCGGACTGAATCGATTCGCCAAAACGAATCGGACTCGAACATACTGCTCGTTATTATTGTAAATAGAAATAATAATTAAATTAATGCTAATTTAATCAATATTACTGTTGTTGATAATAACAATAACCACGCTTTCATCATCATCATTATTATTATTCCTAATGATTACATTATTTGTAATCATCATTCCGGGAACCCCAAAGCACCCGCCTCTCGGTCGCCAAAAATAGACCAACACATATCACTGTCCCAATGGTGACCAGCGACATGAAGTAAACACATGAGATCTGTTTTTACCTGAGACACGATTCCAGCGAAGCAAACCAGCAACAGCAGCATCTGTGTCCAGTTCTTCATAATCCTCATCCTCTCCCTGGACTTGACAGCTCTGAAAGTTGCGGGGTTTTCTGTTGTGTGTCTGTCAGTAAATATAAACTAAGGTCGAAAGGGCTCCAAACTCCTCCAACAAAACGCCATTCTCACCGAGAGTCGGGACAACTTCACCGCGGCATACTCACTCACTAACAGTACTACTGCGGTTCAGCGTTTGCCTGAAACACGCCAGACAACTGATCATAAATTATAATAACAAATATTGCACATTTCCGCGTTGGGACGGATCTGGTGATGTCACTCAAATCAAAGAGCATACAGTAGAAAACTGGAAGGCACGGCCATGTTGGGTTGATTGACAGCGCGTGTGGCCAATGACGTGCCGCTGCGGCGAGCTGAAAGGCGGAGTTTCGAGAAAGCTGGATGTCATTTTGAAACACGTGTAACAATAACAGTTTGGCCCTGACAATTGATGACAACACGACCTGTTCTGCCGCTTGTTTCTTTTCCTTTCGAAGTGCAACATAGAATGTTCCCTCTAGTTATTAACGGGGCGAAAGAAAAGTATTGATCTGTTTTCTGCTTTTTAGCACCACATGTTTTTTTCAACTAAGTTAATGTAATTAATTAATTTTCTTAATGTAAAACCCGTTTATATGAATAATACAGTCCTACAAAACACCTGTGAAACTAAAACGAATACAACATAGAACGATAAAGTCACTTAATACATGTCACTCTTTTACTACAATAAATATTTCTCAAAGTAGCTGTATTTTAAGTCAATTTCTGTGACAACGCACAGCGTAAGGACCTGGCTACAAAATGTCCATGAAAGAAAAAATACTGTTCGCTTTAGATTTAGGGAATATTGAACATGTACAGCCTATTATTGACTTTATATTGTAAAATGTACAGATTTTAAACACTGAAAGACGATATTAAATGAAATGAAAACAACGAGAATGTGAAAGTTAGCACGCAAAACGCTATTATATGGTTAACAAATTCTGTAGATAAAAAGTGTTTAACATTTAAAACACGTAAGTATATTTTAATAAAAGGCAACAATTTGCATTAATGTTGATGAAACTACACTTGTTTTCCATGAGCTTTGCTGCCCTCTTGTGTATAATAAAATGATCTGCATAGGAATTAGAAACACTTTTATTTAAATATGCCTACAACACTACACGGCAACATATATATATATATATATATATATATATATATATATATATATATATATATATATATATATATATATATATATATATATATATGGGTTTCCTCTGGGTGCTCCGGTTTCCCCCACAGTCCAAAAACATGTGCTATAGGTGAATTGAGTAGTGTCCGTAGTGGATGCTTCCCAGTGATGGGTTGCAGCTAGGTTATCCGCTGTGTAAAACATGCTGGATAAGTTGTCGGTTCCTTCTGCTGTGGCGACCCCAGATTAATAAAGGGACTAAGGGGGAAAAATAAATGAATGAAGGCTTATTACCAGCCTATTAAGATATTGACTGTTTATTTGTACACACATTTTCCATGATCTTATACTACATACCTGTAGCTACACCAACCTAAAACCAACTTGTTTCTGTTACTTTTTAAGATATTAAAAAAATTCTATATCTACAAATGCGAATACCAAAACATACTTTCCATTTTTTGCATGAAGTTAGTCATTATTTAAATACAGTTTCATTATCTGAAATAAGAAAACAAACAGAACTATCTCTTTTAGTAATTACTTTAGTTTATATAGGCTACTGTAATTGATTCGTTTAAATGTCTTACGCTCGAGTTTATTTCATGTTCTTTATTATTTCTTTCTTTTTTTTCTTTCTTTCTTTCTTTCTCTTGTATCCTTTGTGACAATGTAATTCATATTCTGTATTGTTTATATTGATGCAAAGATGTCAACTGTTTTTTTTTCTTGTTTTTGTTTTTTTCTGCCTAACAATACTCCTAATAATTTGTGCAAATGCCATAATTAATGGTTTATTAATAGCGATAGTATTTCCTTAACCCTTTACCCCACCAAGAAAAAAAGTTTGGACTGCATTTCTGCTTAACTCCTAATGTTGCTAGGTTACAGACTCAACGCTTTAACACATCCCATAATTTCTCAAATATCAGCTTCTACCAAATGGTAGATATGTCTGTTTATAGTACCAGATTTAATATACTATGAATAATCTGAAAATATGAAGTCTAAAACCAATTAATTAAAAATAATTAAAATAAAACACAAAATATTGATTCGCTTCACGATTTTGCGTGTCATCTTTGCGCAAGGGACCATGCTAATCTTCTCTGTATCGAACCAATTTTAGTATGTGTGATGTCTCAGACAACACAAACTTGCAGCCTCACAGACAGAAATATACAGTTCAGATACTGTCTATTAGATAACATGATGGTAGTTAAATTTGTTTTGCAATTAACAAAACAGCTGGTTGGTTATATCTTAGAGTCGGTTATGTAATCCTGATCACGATTGAAAAATTAAAACCTTTATAAAGTTTTTTACACGGGTTTTTACTGTTTTGTTCAACATATGCAAAATAGTTTCGTTCTCACAGAACGATTGGTTGCCTCTTGGTTTTCAAAATGACGTCACTCTCTTCTCGTTGAGTCCGCTGCAACTCAGAGGCACGGGGCCTTCAAATTATATTGAAAATGCCCCTTGTTGCTTTTGTAGAATAAAAGATGAATCTGTCGATCATTTTTGGGGAATGTGCCCGGCATGTTAAGATTTTTCGGACAGAATGTGCCTCTCTCTTAAATATGTTTTCTTTGTTATAAAAGGATGCTTCATTTTGTTTTTAATCATGTTGATAAAGTAAAAGATAAATATTTTCTAATAAATCAGTTTATTTTTTACTAGCAATATGTCTATACACAGATGCAAATCTTCGTCTGCAAATATCAAATAGATTTTAAATGGATTTTAAATATTGCTTGAATACAATCTCTACCCCCAGCAATCTCTAAAATCGATAACTATGTGAATTTTACAGTATTGTCTCTTTTTATAATATCCACCTGACTTTATTCTATGTCATCTTTTATGCATCACTGTGCTCATGCTTTGGGATAGCTTTAAAATGTTCTGTTGTAATTTAAATGATCCCTGACTTTATTTTTGTTTCTCTTTTTGTTTTGCTTTGTTATGTTGTCTATTTGTTATTATAGGATTTATTTCTTTTCTGTATTTATTTGTACTCTTGTTGAACGTTCCAATAATATAAAACTCAGAAGCACGTGGCTAAATTCAATTATTTTTAAATACTATTTTATACTATTCAAGTACTATTAAATGCTATTTTATACATATTATTTTTAATTGCAAATAAATTTAGGAACCACATTCATAGGACTTTTATCGATCGGATGTAGGTCCTCATTGAAGCCGGAAGTACAATGATATTCACAAATTTTTGCGCGAAAGTGTCTGTTGCCGTCTTGTGTGCTCTCGGTCGTTATTGAGTTCATATGTCAAGTTAAAAGAAAATTTCCTGCCAGAGCAGACACTATACCGCAAACATGGACGAATATGACGAAATGTACGGGATTGAGGATGATTTTGAACGACAGTTCGCAGATGAGTTGGAAGTCATGGCTGAATTGGAGAGTGAGTTACAGAAAAGTGTTCATGTCAAGTCTTTTATTGTGTATCTTACTGTGATGACCGTCCTGTTCGTTAATAATGTATAAAGATAGATTATATAGAATTTTAGCTGGCTGTTAGATTAATAGCATAGCAAAATGTTTTTTTTCTCTGTAACGTTACACACGCAGACACACCACGGTGCTGTGTGTTCTTTGAAAATGAGGTAAAATTGTTTTTGTATTCGCACATTCAGGCTTTCTACTTTAGTATAATTTCAGAAAGCACATTTGCACATTCTAAATAGCGAAATCATATTAGCAGTCACTGACCATCAAAGTACAACATTTTTCACAGTCAAATAAACAGCCCTAATGTTGAAATAAACAGCCCGAATGTTGTTTTCACGTCATACTCGCATGAGATTCTTGACTGATTATTCCAAGTACCATTGTAAACAATATAGATAGCATGTCACATGTTGTCACGAATATGCGAATTTTTAACCAACTTTACCTCCATTTCTTTGAGGAATACCAGTGAGGTACTACATAAATGTGGTAAAAATCCATGCTTTTGCATATTAATATCAAGCCACCATTACCACAGTATTTAAAGGGATAGTGTTTGTACTTTGTATTTCAACTTCCATTATTTTTATGTTACTACAAAAAAAGGCTGTGACAGATACATATGAATTATAAAGAAAAATCTAAAGGCAATATATCTAAATCATTATAAATGTGTATAAATATACAGTAGTTGACAATTGAAATAGATAAAAAAAAGCTTCAAGACAAGAATAGATGTTGTTCATTAGTTTTAGGACAAATCTGAAAGGTTACTGTTATAAATGTTGAACACTGTATATAAATGGATGGAGATAGATAGATAGATAGATAGATAGATAGATACATTGATTTATTTGTCTTATATTTATTTTGTCTAGGATCACAGAGCAGATTCTAAAATAGAATTCATTTGCATAAGGGAATTAACATCAACCACATATTCACAAACCATAAGTAACACCAATGTCTGCTGCTCTGATTCACACCTTAAGCTATCAAGCGGCACGTGAAACAGGGTTTGGTGTAGTTCTTTACTGTACAAACTGTACACAAACAGAGGCTCTGTTCCAAATCTTAATGTGCTGCCTACCAAGACAGCGTTTCTCAGCACCACCATAGGCTCAAATTCAGCAAATGTTGTTTCAAAGCTAGTTTCCATTAGCATTCCCATTCATCTCAAATGGCAGCTGCACAGCTGGTACAGGAAGTAGGCTGTTTGACTGGCATCTCAGCTCCTGGAACTGCAAAACCTTTAGCCAACATCTTGAGCTGATGTTTACTATAAATGTACCACAATCATGTTACACTGTCTGCATGCTTCAACCTTAAATAACTCTTGCTCAATATTAAACCTTAAATGCCTCTTTTGCTCAATATTCACCTTTAATGCCTCTCTTGCACAACATCCTGCACAGCATTGTTCAGTCTCATGTAAAAGTACTTGTGTAGCCTGTCTATTGTGTATAGGTATCTCATGTCTATAGATAAGTCGTATGTGTAAAGTAAGTATCCTATCCTATAGTATATGTTAGTAATGTATATGTTTTTTTAAAATAACTCTTATGTCCAGTGTTGTGTTTGCATTTATGATTAATTTTTGTAGCACCATTGTCCTGTGAGACACAACGTTTTGTTTCTCTGTATGTCCAAACATGTTGCGGAATGACATTAAAGCTTGACTTGACTTGAGGTAGACAGATAGATAGATAGATAGATAGATAGATAGATAGATAGATAGATAGATAGATAGATAGATAGGTAGATAGACATTTTTTCTTCTTTTGAATAAAGAGAATCTGTTTTCTTTAAATTGTGTTGCTGACACCCCTTCCAAGCAAATTTTGTGTGTTTTGTTTTAATGAAAACCTATAAAAAAAGCTCAACCAGGCAGTTACGATGTCTGTTAAAGGGTTAAAAAGTTAAACGATCAGCATTTATTAGATAAATTTAACACACTAATTGTTCAGTCTTTAAATGTAAGAAAATGGACCCTTGCTAAATAAAATAATTTCTTAACCCCCCCCCCCAAATACCTAATAGACACATAGATAGATAGTTTGATGTTTTTTTTCTATTTTTTGTAGCTTATCAACAAATTACAATATCAAGTTTAACAATAATCTCTTTTCTGTTGTAACTTATTTGTAAATAAACACATAAAATAATTAAATTAGTTCATTCATTTAAATGCATGAATGTATCTGTGTGTAGGCAACAATCCACCAGCTGCAAAAGTGTCTGAATTTCGCAATAAGCCGATCACACAGACGTTCGAGGAAGCCCTTGTGTCCGGAGACCAGCCATCAAGGAAATCAGTAAATAACCAGAATCCAGAGAGCATCTCTCCGCCGGTATACGAGGAGGAAGAGGAGTCTCTGAGTGAGTGCTTTACATTGGATTTTTACATTTGTGTCATAAAACACATTTTTCATTCAGAAGGTTGGGATATGTGCGCTTTTTAATTCTCACTGAATGATTCAGTCAAAATAGTAATGTTAAGTTTTATAACAAACTAAAATAGTGCTGCCCGATATTGGAACATTTTTATTTATTTCATAAATAAATAATTTATTTAAAAATGTATTTATTTATTTAGTAATAGTTTTTTGTGTGATTAAATATTGCGATATGAAAACAGTTTCAGGAGATAGTTTAAAAGGCACTATTTGACATTTTTTGGGAAGCCTAACAGTATTCAGATACAGAAATTAAATAATCAAAATGCAAAAAATAAATAAAAAATGCTTTTCTTACTTTCATTTGTCTCGTTTCTAGTCCAAATATCAAAAAATTCTCAGATGAAAATAAACTATTGTTTTCAGCAAAATTAAGTTACCTTAAAACAAGTAAAATTTATCTGCCAGTGGGGTAAGTAAAATAATTGTGTTTTCACTTAAAATGTAAATATTTGGACTAGAAATAAAAAGACAAAAAAAAAAGTTAAGAATTTATTTATTTTTTTTGCATAAAACATATGAATACAGTAACTAAATACAATTGTGTAGCCCCTGGTCAAGAACAATCCAGACTCAACATTTACAAATGGGACTATTACAGATGCACACATTGCGATTTCAATGCTGAAATAATATATTATGCAACACTAATATAATACAATTTGAATGTTGTGATTTGGTGTGTAAGTAATATTTTACATCATCGGTGTTGAAAGTAGGGTTTCTACTTTGTATTTTTGGTGGAAACTGCAATTCATGTTTTATTGATTTATTATTAGCGAGATAAAATTTATGTCGTTAACAATAATAAGCTATGGACTTTTTACTCTATTGATTCAGGAGCCAGTCACACAGCAGAAATGTGCAACAGTGAAAATCTAAAAGTTTTTTTGTGAAAACCACAAAAGTATTGGCCAACATAAATAGGTCATGTTATTTAATGGACCCTCTAATTTGTGGCTTCAGTTATTGTTGGTATACTCTTTTAAATCTGGAAGCATTAACAACTGATGTCAAAATATATATTGTTATTGTTTAATATAGAAAAAATTAATCAAGATTGCATTTTTGCCATATCACCCAGCCCTACTTTAAGCAAATTTAGAGTGTTATTTTTTTATTTAATGTTTAAAAAATTATTTTAATAATGTTAAAAAGTCAAATGATCATCATTTATTTGAATTTTTGTAACATTCTATTTGTCTTGAATTGTAAACATTCTTTAGTCTTAAAATGAAAAAGAATTCATTTCTTAACCTCAAAAATACCTACAAGCATTTGAAGAGGATTGTGTAGTATGAAGTTTGACTTCTCACAGCCCCTAAACCCAAGAAAAGGAGGCAAGATGTGGCGAAAAAGCTCCAGTTTGGCGTTGACCAAGATGATGACATCACTCCTCCATCTTCCCCAGAGGTTTACGACAGGGAAGTGAGAGACGGGTAAATATTTATGCACATTTATACCATATTTAAAATGTACCACTGAATGGAAGCGTTGGTTTTTGATCTTTTTTTTTTTTTTTCACAGGCCTAGATTTTCCCTAACCCTGAGTCCAGACAGACCAGCAGCAACAAAAATAACGACAAATGTTTTAGATATTAGTGGACTGGGAGCTTTACAGGAGTCACCGAAGCAGGTGACGGCAGCAAAACGTCATGCTCAGAAACGCCCACCTGCAATCGGAGATTACATCACAGTCACAGACTCTATGGGAAACAGGGTCTACCTTAACAAGAAAGAGGATGTGGAGAAGGTTTTATTCCATATTAACAACTTAACTTCACAGCTTACAGAAGTGCAATACGTAAAATATAATGGTTGATGTATTTATCATTTTTCTCAGACACCAGACCCGAGAGCCTTCCGTAACTCGCTGAATGGACTAGGACTGCTAGCTGTTCCCATTGAAGTGCTCAAGGAACAGATTGCAGAGAGAGTAAGTATAATGGGTCTCTTTACTTGTTTATTTCCTATTATTTACAATATTGACTTATCGCACAACATGTGGACATGACCTCAATCATTTTTGGTGATGCAATATACATCGCTTCCCAGAGATGGGTTGCAGGTGGAAGGGCATCTGCTGCGTAAAAACTTGCTGGTTAAGTGGTTAGCGGTTCATTCCGCTGTGGTGACCCCAGATTAATAAAGGGACTAAGCCGACAAGAAAATGAATGAATGAATATACATCGCCCATACATAAAAATCAATTCTAGCAACATTTTAGCTGATTTCTGCAATCTATCCATCTTTGTTGGTGGTGTCAGTGTAAGTATGGTTAAAAATAGTATTTACTTTAAATTACTATACAGTATATTTTCATGTGGGTGTCTGACAGCTGAAAATAGATCTGGTAGCAGATATTACAGCCTCTGTTATTTTTTACCTTGCACTTGAAAGGGCCTACTCACACTATGCCATCCGTACCGTGCCCAGGCCCATTTCCCGGATCGTTTGAGAAGTGTGAGTGCGCTGAATCAGGCTCAAGCACGGTTCACTTGGCCGGTCCTGGCCCGGTAGAAAGAGGTGTGCCTAAGCGCGGTTCACTTGGGCTTTGGCGCGGTACGCTTGTGTGTGAGTGCAAAACGCGCCAAAGCCCGAAACTGAAAGCGAGTCGTGACTTGTAAGGGGCTGTTTCATATGGATTTATTAATCATTCTTACTGTTCAGTGAAAGCAAACTGCCGTAGTTTATTAAAGACGAGAACTCCTCACAGCACGACAGCTACGCGGCTTCAGCAGACCTCCTCATTCCTGCAGCACGAGAGCTTTATGATTGTTTATGAGCGCCAAAAGTGGCGGATCTGTTCGGCGAAATATCTGACTGCGTGTCACCGCATCCCTAAAGACTGTTTGGCGAAATATTTGACTGCATGTCACTGAATATCAAACAACTGAAACGATATAACTAGAGAAATCTCCACTGTGCTGCTGAGTGAGAGAGCGCTTCTCACTGAACAGCGCAGCAGCGATGATGTAAGCGGGCCGTCGGGGGAGACGGGAGGGGGACAAGCGTGCTTTGGCCCGGTTCGAGGCAACTGTACCTAGTGTGAGTACAGCCTTTGTTTGTTGACATTTATTGTTATTTATTTGTTTACGATATATACGTTTTCACATTCTGATTTCAATGCCTACTTATTAAATGGTTAAAATGACCATAATTAAACTAAATATTTTAAAAGGTGCTGAATGTAAGTTTTTGACTCTTCTAAAGCATAACAATACCATAATATGATTGCAGATATTTAAGAAACATGCTAAGTAAATGTACTTGTTTATCTGAAGTCAATTATTCTGCTTTAAAAATGTGTTTCCTGTGCCGGAATGGTGTGGTTCTTTCAACCTGTTCAATCCCAGTTCGGCCAATTGTATTTCAGCACCCCGGGTTGCCTTGTTGGAAAACAGCGTATTCCCATTATTCATTCGGAAAGTTCAAAAACGCCTCGCAGATATCACAAAATTCAGAGGATTTTTTTTTCTTATAACATATGTGAGCTTTTCAAAAGCCAAACAAGTTAATAGGTTTCTCAACCAAAGTCCAATGGAGGCCCGATTAACATTTTTCCAGCATAAAGCAATTCAAAGCTTTGCTTGTATTAAACATAAATCGCTCACTTTTCTTTCTTTAGTAGACAAAGCACAGCTGTCTTCATACATTATTTTATTCTATTTATTTGGTTAATTTTTTCTGTGCTGTTGAACAATATTTTAAAATGCAATATGTAATTTGTAAAACACTAAATAGACACATCAATTCAACTTTGTAAATAAATCATCATTTAATGTTGATCTATTAATATATAACTGGTTAATATTCAGTTAACCAAGGGCAAAATTTACCGAAATGAGCATCGCTGGTGTGTGCATATACAAACAAATCAGAATCTGTCTGAATTGGGTTTGTTTTTACAGCGGCATCGACAAGTGGTGGAGGAATCTCAAAGACTGACTGAACTTATGAAGAGGTGTGTTTTGTTCCAGTTAATACTTTTAATCGATACATGAACTTCTCTAGCAATGTTAACTCTAAATTGTGTTTTAGTGGAATAGATTCAGATCTTCTCGCAGAAGAGCAGACAGACTCGGGTGTGGATGGGGATAGTGGGGAAGATGAAGCATCTTCACGACTTTGGGTGGATCAGTTCTCACCACAGCACTACACTGATCTGCTGAGTGATGATGTGAGTCAAGAGCTGTGTTTCTCTCCACTTATAGTTATGAGCATTCTAGGATATTGCATTAAAGAAATGATTTCTAATAACACCAAGATGCGCAAAAATATATGGTCAATTGAGTCGCATGTATTTTTATTCAATAAAAAGGATATGCATATCAACTATGATAAAGTAAATTCATTTATGTGTGTTCTGCAAAGTCCTTAACAAAAATCCATCCTAGACCTGGCTTCCAAAAGCAAGAAAGCATGACAATATCTAAATCTGTGTTTTATCTTCTGCTTTGACTGAGGCACAACTAATTTACTATGGAGTTAAATAGTTTGAATATAATGAGTTAAAAAACATAAACTTTATTATTGATATACCATACTAGTTTCCTTGTGTGTTGGAAACTGTGCTTTATTTGCAAATATTTTATGTTAGATTAGAATTTTTACTTTAAATGGAGTCATAGATGTGCTGTTTATTCAAACCCGTTCTGGTTAATTAGTATCCATCAGTTTTGTTATTATTTACATTGTCTCTGTATTCCTGTAGTTTACTAATCGCTGTCTGCTGAAATGGCTGAAGCTCTGGGACACTGTGGTCTTCGGGCGAGAGAGGAAAAGCCGTCCGGTCCCTGTAGAGGCCAGATCAAATTTTACAAACGCTCAAAATCAAAACCAGGCCCAACGTTTCAAAACCAAGTCTCAAATGACAGAAGAGATACTAGAGGCTGAGCTAGACCAGTACAAAAGACCGAAATTTAAGGTGAGTGCAATTGCGCAATTACAATATTGTTAAATTTGTTTTTTATTATTCGATTTTTAAAATATAAATATATATATATATTTTTTTTTTATTTTGTAATATTTTTATTTATTCATTTAATATTTGTGTCTGCTTCCCCTGTATTTTTTGAGAAAAAAATTAATAATAAATTAAAAAAAAATAATCTATATATATATATATATATAATTTTTTAAAAATATTTTAAAGATTATTTTTTAAAAATAAAATAAAAAAATAAAAATAGAGTTAATCATTTCTGATGTAAATTGTTTTTGTATTGTCTAAAATAATATAATTATCTGAAACCATTGTACCTTTTTATCTTTTTATTTTGTGCAAAAAAATATTTTTATTGTTTATTTAGGAAGTAATAGCATCACTTTCAGTTTCAGAAAAGTACTGAAATTAATGCTAATATGTTACATAGATTATAGTAAAAATAATGTAGCTAATTAATGTGTTTCTTACTTTGTGTGTTTGTGTGTGTCAGAGAAGTAGTGAGTTTAATGCTAGTTTATATTAAAAATAGTGCAGCTAAATTATGTATTTCTTATTTTTTTATATTTAGTGTGTGTGTCCATTATTCTCCACAGGTAGCGCTATTATCAGGTCCTCCTGGACTGGGGAAAACCACACTAGCACACATTATTGCAAAGCATGCTGGTTACAATGTAGTAGAAATCAATGCTAGGTAAGTGGATACAAGCTCTGATGGTAACCAATCTTGAAATAGAAGTATGTACAGATATAATATTAATGTAATATAATCTCTTCTCAGTGATGACCGTAGTGCAGAGCTCTTTCAGAAGCGCATTGATACTGCCACACAGATGAAGTCTGTTCTGGGAGCCAATGAAAAGCCCAACTGCCTTATTATAGATGAAATCGACGGAGCTCCTGCTGTAAGATCTGCCCTCTGTCTTGTTTACTGTTAATTATTTTAACTTGTAGTTGGTTCTGACATTTTTGTTTTTTCTCATTGGTTCAGGCTGCCATTAATATCTTATTGGCCACCCTGAACCGGAAGGACAGCAAGGATGGAGAGGAAACAGGAGTCAATGCCTTGAAAAAGAAAAAGAAAAAGCAATCTGTGCTGCTTAGACCAATCATCTGCATCTGCAATGATCTGTAAGTCTTGGGATATTTGAGGTGAATTTAAAATAACTTAAAAAAAAGTCGAATGAACTTTAGGAAACGTAGACACTAAAGAAATGCACGAAATATATGCTGAGACTGGAAATTCAGAATTCACTGGCCAAATTATTTTTATTTATTTTATTTTATTAATTATTATACGATAATACGATTTTTAGAAATACATTTTACCAGACACAAAAATTACAAATCTTCAGATAATGATAGAGACAATGAAATAAAATATAGTAATTAATCACTTGATTAATTAAATGTGTTTAATAATCATTGTTTAGTTACAAGAAATTCAATTAAATTGTTCATAAGGCACTTTTTAACAACAGAAAAAAGTCATATTTCTATTACATTTTTGGTGAAATGTTGATGAAACTAAATTGTTTTTAGAAGAGTCAGCATTTATTAAATAAGACATCTCTAAATTTAGGTTAAAAGTTAGGTTACAATTTTAAATTAAATTATATGCACATTCAATAAAAATATAATATATTCAGTAAAATTACTTTTAAAGGATAAAGGCACTGAGTGGCTTACCTTGTTCAAGTTGATTTCAGACCAAAACTGAAAACTGTTGTTTCAGTCTAATGAACTTTGTTAAACATTTAGTTGTGTTTAACCTTCACAATTTAGCATTGAAATTCTATTTACATTCTGCACTTTCAAATAGCAGTCTTGTATTTTTTTTTTAAAGTATAAAAAATTATAGGTGGGCATAGATTTATTTTTTTAAAATCTAGATTAATCTTGGAATTAATCTAGATTAACATAGATTAAAATGACTCATTTGAATTCTGCCGAAGGCATTCAGAATATGTGTGCTACCCAAAAAATAAGTCTTTAAGGAACGGGTTTCTCAAGCCAGGTGGAGCATTAGACCAGGGGCTCATCTCCTGTTTCCAAAATGCATCACTAACTGCTTAAGAAACTCTTCTTCTATGATAATTGGTAATGAAAATAAATGATGTTCAATAAGTTCTACTTGTGTTTACTAACTGTTTATTTAGATAAACATGAATTTTGAACTGTAGGCCTACATAAGCGCCAAAAAAAAAAAAATTGAAATGAAGATATGTGGAGTATGCTTATATTAGTGGCATTATTGAAGTAAACACTGTGATCAGTAAACAATGTCATGGAGGACTTTTCGCCATATTTTTTGACAAGATCCACACGTGCGGCTGTCAGTAAAGGACCACACACACACACACACACACACACACACACAAACACACACAGCAAAATGTGGAGTTTTTTTTTCTTTCCATTTGGTGTATGTTATTAAATTTCATAACACTCTCACCAGTCCTTACTCCTTATTTGTGTCTAATACCCCAGTTTGTCACAGGGCATGAATAAAATTATCATAAGTTAAAGTGAAACTCCAGAACTGCAGTTAAAGTCAGACAACCTGCTGATTTGATTCAGAAAGGCACTTTTTTGTCAGACGGCTCACCACTCAGGTATACATCTGCGCTAAAATATCAAGGTGAAAGTCATCATAGCTTGCATAAAATAGACCCAGCTCCCAACCCAACTTTGAGAATAGATTAACGGAGATATTCTCGTGTTAACGCAGCACTTTAACGGCGATAATGTTACCACCGCTAAAAAATATAAAAATTTCCTGTTTTTGTACTTTTCATCAGATATGTTCCAGCTCTAAGGCCACTGAGACAGCAAGCTTTCCTGCTGGTCTTTCCTCAGACTCTGCCATCACGCTTGGCTCAAAGATTAGCAGAGGTGACAGACACACACACACACACACATTCACACAATGATTTCATAAACTCATGAATGGTGACTTACGCAAGCTTTTGTTTCTATGTGTAGATCAGCAGGCGTCAGGGAATGAAAGCAGATACAGGCACTCTGATGGCCCTGTGTGAGAAAACTGACAATGACATCCGTTCTTGCATCAACACATTACAGGTGAGAGAGATATCTGGTGCTTTAAAATATTTCACAGTTAACACGGGTTTGCTCATGCTATCTGTGTGCAGTTTTTACACAGTCGTGGACAGAAGCACTTGGACCAGCGCAGTGTCAGCTCCATGTGTGTGGGATTGAAAGACCAAAACAAGGGACTGTTCTCAGTTTGGCAGGAGATCTTTCAGCTTCCTCGACTGAAAAGGTACACAACTGTCACATGCTTTTTCACTCTTCAGTCTGCCCTGCGCAGCTTTTCCGTTTGAGAAATTAATAAATAGTCATAATAAGGTCATGCTATTAAAATACTGTTTCAAAAAAGAATCTTATATTTTTGAACTTGTTGGTTTTTATAAGTTCTTATTGGAAAGACATAATTACATTATTTGCATTTATGTTTTTACGAAATAATTTGTCATACTGGTTAACAAAATATCTACATATATCCACCTACTCAATAAACAATACACGCAACCTCTCTATTAGGGTTGGGCCGATAGATGATGCCATTGTTCATCGCCGATGGCCAACAGACACCACGATGCTGAGCCAGCATCGCGATCCTCCGCCTCGCCCCCTTTGCAAATCCGCTCACGAAAAATACACAATCAGGCCCTGTTTACACTAATAGGTCTTATTTTTTAAAATGGCATTTTAGAACGAAGACGATCTACATCCACACTGGCGTTTAGTATTTCTGTGTAGCCCTCCTTCCACACTACCGCTGAAAATGCACATCACGTGACCACACACACACACACATTTACACATAGGCACACACACAGACGCACACACACTGTCATGCGCTCCAGACAGCTGGTCCAGGCAGTCAGCGGGTCAGTAGACTGCTTCAATCTTTCACTTTTACACTTGTACTTAGTAATTTTAGCGAACACCTCGGATACTGTTGGCTGGTTCCTGTTGGTTGTGCACCTTTTTTTACCCACGCCATTATAACGACACAGATCACTCTGCCTATTCACGCCTATTCACGCGTGCCGCTGAAAAAGTGATTGACAGGTGGTAATTAATAGTGTAACTGATCTTTATTCATTTACTCTATGATTTGTTTATGGGTAAAACAAAGACCATGCGGGTCAGGTAGTTAAAACGGTAGGCTACAAATAATTATGAATTATGAATATCATTATGAATTAGTTAATTATTCAGAATTAATTCACCACCGCCTATGATGACGCCATCGTCCATCGCGATGTTTCATATTACACATCGTACGATGCCTAATTGGTCGACATCGCCCAACCTTACTCTCTATGTACATATTTGATGCAGAGACCAAAATGCCTTTATAGCACTGCCCTTTATGCAATTCATTTATTAATTTGCAATGCATATGCATCCTAAAATAAATCCCGTTTTCTTTGTTGCAAAAGAAGACTTTTGTCTAGATTTTTGGTATAACCAGAAAATAATTGAAGAAATAAGTATGATGTTATTTGTCATGTTGGTAATTTTTGTGCTTTATTAGACTGTTATATTCTCTATTCATTATGGTGCTATTCAATTCATAATGGTGTTGTGATTTAGGAAGCGGATTGGTGGAGATCCTTTCAGTGGTTATGATGAGTTGGGACCTAAAGAGGGTGCACAAAGGCTTCAGCACATCTTACATTTGGTCTCATCTACTGGAGAACATGAGAAACTCACTCAGGTAAATAAACTGACATGCTCTCTGGGCTGTAGTTAAAGAATAATGAACATTGCTCTTGGACAGTAGCCCAACCAAACTCATAGATTCTTTTTTAATTTGCAGAAGCAATTTCAGTTCAATTCAAGTTTATTAGTGCTTTTCACAGCATTTGTTGTTTCAAAGCAGCTTTACAAAAGGTGCACATTGATGTATTATAATAAAAATCAGAAAATAATTGACTTAATATTTCATATTAGTGACTCTAATATAGCTTCTCTAATTTAACAAAGTAATTTTGATACTTAAAGGCAATCTATATACATAAACACAGTCCAAAACATTAGAGGTGAAAACATACATTTACACCGAAAGCGACATGAGCGTCAAAGTAGCTGGAAGTCATTCATTTTCAATAAGAGCTGGCGGCGGTAAGCGGCGAGGAGCAGCACGGCGCGTCTTCGCCGATCTTGGCATCGAGGAGAGTTGAAATCAAGTTAACTCTATGGTAATAAGCTACGACGCGGTTCAGCTGCAAGCAATCAGAATGAAGTCCACCGCTTGAGAGGAGTTCAGAGAACACAGACCTGTGAACTTTGGTTTCCACCACAGTTGTTTACAAAGGCTTAATTATTATTGTTGCCAGATTTTTAATTATTTGCAATGTTTTCTTACAGGAACATACATTAAATAAGTTACTGGCGAGTTACAGATGTGCATTAATGTTATATATACTTATCTTTAATAAAAGCGGGAATCTCATGCGACAGTACAAAACAGTATTGCTGCTTCAGGATATTTCAGACATATGGACATATTGGACAATTAAGTGGAGCAAATCCACACCACATGCAACATGATCTTCCATTATTAAATGAATTTGATAAAAAGTGTGCATCATTTTCAAGCTAAAAAGCATGTTTTATGCAGGAATGTAACTGATATGCTGCAACGGCCCCTTTAAATAAGAGATCCGTGTAGCGAATTCTGATGCTCTCACCACCGTAGCTGAAGGCAGACAGCGTTGTCGCCAGGGCGGCCAGAGTGACCTTGGATTAATGTTATGATTAATGTTAACTAATGCATTTACTAACATGAACAAACAATAAACAATGCATTTATTACTGTATTTGTTCATATTAGTTAACGTTAGTTAATGAAAATAAAGTAGTTCATTGTTAGTTCATGTTAACTCATGGTGCATTGACTAATGTTTACAAGCATGGACTTGGATGTTAAAAATGCATTAGTAAATGTTTAATTATGATTAATAAATGCTGTACATAAGTTGTTCATGATTAGTTCATGTTATTAAATGCATTAACTAATGAACCTTATTGTAAAGTGTTACCAACGGATCACAACCAGCAGTTCGAAACGCATGTGACCTGCAAATTAATACATTTTCTTTACTTTCAAATTAATTCTGAATTTGTCACAATGCAGAGATCTCACGTCATTCAAATCATTTATGAAAGCATTTAGGCCTTCCTATAAAATATAATTATGACAGAAGTCGTAGGTTATTCAGTATGGGGTGGGTTTATTAAAGGTGTTTTCTGTCACTACTCGTTTAGACTGCATTAATGCATTCAGTGTAAGCTGCACGATTAATCATTAAAAGATTGGGATCTCAACTCCCACGCATCATAAATTATAAATTATGTTAATTTTGTAAATGTGTTTAAAAAAAACGCAAAACTCAAGAAAGAGATTCAGTTTTTAGTCTTTTGAGTTAATTATGAAGTTACAAACAGTCAAATAACACAGAAGTACTGGGATAACAGTTTATAGTTTAGATAAAAGCTCTAATGCTTATGGTAAAGATCAAAATCGCCGTCATATGCATTTAACTTGACACTCAAAAATGAAAGTTGAAGGCAGCAATTACATTATTTAACCAATAGGTGACCATCAAAGATATGCCACTGAATAATTCTTCAAAAATGACACATCTTGCAATAAAACATGAAGTTTTATAAGTGAATAACTGAATCATTTATTGAAAATTGGACTAGAAAATAAAAATGGGTTGTATAAATTACAATGCTAGATTTCTACATTTAGCGTTATCAGCAACAGTAGTAGTAACAGTGAATTTTTCATAGTACTGAATATTTTACCAATTACATTTATTCAGCTGATTATTTCTTTTTCATTTTATTTGATGAAACCAAAAGTTTCTTGCAGTACTGTTTTTGTAATAAATGAAAAAAAAAAAAAAATTGTCGCCTCCCCTTTTTGGCTAATCCGAAAATGGTCCAATCCGTGACTCAAAAACCATAATGTGATCCAAACCGTGAGATATATGATCTGTCACACCACTACAAAACATGCAGATTTGATGCAGATTCCAAACTATATATTATATTAGGTTATGGTAGTAAGAAGTAAATAAATAAATTATACATATCTAATCATAAAACCTTTTTAATGATGTGTATAATAGTCATGCAAAAAAGTAGGACACCCTGCAAAATGCCAATTTTTCCACATCAGGACACAAAAATCATCTTTGGCAGGACTTCAAATCTGGAAAATGAAACCTCAGATGAATAGAAAAATAAAGCATAGACACAAATAAGTCAAGCTCTACTAATCAAATGTCTTAACTGATCATCAGCAGAAGTTTCAGAGGTTTGTTGCTTTGTAGACTTCATATGTAATCATATATTTATATTTTATCTAGTTTTTCTTGATTATCATTGTTATTATTGTAGCTATTGTATTTTTATATTGTGTTATTGCATGTCTGCAGCAATATGGTGATGCCCATAAATAATTCCCTTTCAATAAAGTTTACTACTTCTATAGTTTTTTATTATGTCCTGTTAGGGAAAACCATGTGTCCTAAAGGGTGTCCTAAAGCTTTCACATGACTGTATATGTAAAACTAATGATGCATCTTAATGCATTTGCAAAATCTTCACAGTTTAATTGATTTATTGTTTTTATTTGAAGTATTCCTTCAAGGTAATAACAGACCCAAAATGCATTGTTAGAGTTCTATATCTATGCAAATGTGTCTGGTGTTTCATCCGAAAGTGTTCTTTCTTTCTGTTCTGTAGGGCCTCTATGACAACTTCCTAAGCATGAAGCTGAAGGATCCTGGGATGTTGGGTGTTTGCTCTGGTCTTGACTGGCTGTGTTTCTCAGACTTGCTGAATGAGTGTGTGTTGCATGGACAGAACTATTCGCTTATGCGCTACTTCCCCTTCCTGCCCGCTGCCTTTCACCAGCTGTACGCCGCCACCTCTGTCCCGCGCATCAATTATCCACACAGCCACTATGAGGTGAGAGAGGATGCAATAAACATCAAGAGCACACAATGTCTGTCCGCATTTATCCTTAATATACTAATGACCTGACGTTCCCTTTCAACAAATGAAAACTCTCTGTCCCAGTTACACACTTCAGCATAATGCCTCAAAGCACACCCTTTTACAGTATGTCTCCATTTACTATCATCATATTGAGGATTTACTAAGCAATTAAGTGTTATGTGTTGGAAGTATTTGATGATTATACAGAAAATTTACTTGCAGATTTGATGAAAATTGAAATTTTTTGAAAGTCAATATTTAATAAGTGTGTATTTAATTATATATATATATATATATATATATATATATATATGTGTGTGTGTGTGTGTGTGTGTGTGTGTGTGTATATATATACATATATATATATTTATTGTTTGTTTGTTTGTTTGTTTACTTGTTTGTTTGTTTGCTTGTAGCTTTACAGAACATTTCCATTTCAAAGATACCCTTGAACTTGCAGTTCATGAATGAATTAGAGTTTCCAAATTAACGTTAAAGAGCTAATGTGCTTCATCTAATGTTTTTTGATCAGCAAATAAACATGTTAATATGATTATTTTTGAAGGATTATGTGACACTGAAGACTGGAATAATGAGGCTAACTAACTAATGTAAGACAGAATGAATCAAAATATTAAATATGTTAAATATTAATAGTTAAATATGAGTTACTATACTATACTATACTAGACTATACTATACTGCTATACTATACTGAGAACACCCTTTGAAATGTAGCATTTTAAACAATATCTCAATGAAAACAGAAACAATTTCCAAATTGTTGACTTGTCTAAGTTTAATATAACATCTGCAATCTATAATCTATAATCAAGGCAGTTTACCAAAACCAGTCCTTATACTACAATAGGTTTATGAACTCCTATTTTTGCATGGATAAGACAAAAAGTCAAAGAATAAAGAAGTTAATGAAGCAAAAAAAGAAAAACAAGCTAAATATTCTAGAAAGAGAAAATATTGAACCATCATAATCATTTTGACTGTAAATTATTTTCATGTTGGGCGACACGGTGGCTCAGTGGTTAGCACTGTCACCTCACAGCAAGAAGGTCACTGGTTCGAGTCTCGGCAGGACCAGTTGGCATTTCTGTGTGGATTTTGCCATTTTTTGGTTTCCCCATAGTCCAAAGACATGTGCTATAGGAGAATTGAATAATGTGTGTGTGTGCGTGTGTGCGTGTGTGCGTGTGTGCGTGTGTGCGTGCGTGTGTGCGTGTGTGCGTGTGTGCGTGTGTGCGTGTGTGCGTGTGTGCGTGTGTGCGTGTGTGCGTGTGTGCGTGTGTGTGTGTGTGTGTGTGTGTGTGTGTGTGTGTGTGGATGAGTGTGTGTGTGTGGATGAGTGTCTATGGACGTTTCCCACTATTGGGGTGCAGCTGGAAGGGCATCCGCTGTGTAAAACATATGCTGCATAAGTTGGCGGTTCATGGGAACCATGATGAATAAAGGGACAAAGTCAAAGGAAAATGAATGAATTATTTTTATGATTGAGATTGCTAGTATCTGGTGTACAAACATGTCTTTATGAAGTGATTTTAACAATTATTTATACATTTAGAATGAAAGTATTAATAGATGGAGCCTTATATTTGTTTCTAGGCCTTTACCAAAACTCAGCACATCAGGAACGCCCTGCTCGCCATGTTGAACGACATCCCACCTGCCATACAGAGCCGTGTTTGCATGAGCTCTCTCTGTCTGGACATCCTCAGCCTTCTGCTGGAGCTCATCTCCCCCAAACTGAGACCGGTGAGTGACTGTAAGAACCGAAGTAACAGTAAAACAATTACAACAGGTTAATAGACATTTTCAAACTTTACACATGTATATTAGTCCCCCTCAATTCACAACAACTCCTTGAAATTTCACAATATTCAGACAAGAAATGTAAAACAGAAGAATAAAACAAACAAATATGTATTTTGTTGCGTTTCATTATGATTGATGATGTTCCTACAATTTATTTTGTAATTTCAGCCATTATGCATTAAGAGGTCATTTACACAACTCGTTTTTCCATTCCAGTGTGCAACTGTCCCCTTTGTTTTTCTTCGTCAATGTGCTTGACAGACATGTGTGACCATTTCGTTTACATCCCAGGTGTTTTGCAGAGCCTCATATGAACACTGCATTTTTAAGATGCCGTGTCAAGTTAATAGAACTTTGACTTTTCACAAAGCACCACTCAAATCAGAAGTAGAGGTGGGGCAAACATTGCAAACTTTTATTGACACATGTTCAGTTTGAATGTCCCCTTAACTACATCGACATTTCACCACAAATTCCAACTCGATAAATAAATAAAAATGATGTTTTCACATACGCACACATAGGCTAGAGGAGGGGTGGGCAATTAATTTTTCCAAGGTGCCACATTAGACTCTGGGGTGGTTTTAGAGGGCCAGAGCAAAACATTTAATTTGTTTATATAAAAAAGCATTATGTAAAATTATTCAGTAAACATTCATATAAACTGTAAAGTTTAAGAAGGAATTAATTTTACTCAAAAATTATTTTAAAGACCAGCATCACAAAAGCAACTTTCTATAAATGCCATGGGGTTGTTTGTTTGATTGCTTCACCTTAGTTCATTTTTATTTATTTATTCATTCAATTAAATATTTTTTTAAAGATGATGATGATGATGATGATGATGAAAAGCCTTTATTTGTCACATACACTTACATGCAGCGAAATTGGACCCAATTATCAAACATTGTTATCAAAGTTCCTAAAAGGTAGATATCTTCAACATCCTCCAGAGACAGAGCGGCCAGGCACAACGTGCCACTTCTTCGTGTCACATGACTCGTGGTTTGCTTGCAGCACTCTGAAATGTTTTGATTTGATGTTTTCGAACTCACAGCATCTAGAAAAGGAGAGTGTGACATGTGCATCCCTTCCTATTTGCCCGCTGAGTCTGTGCATCTCTATTTGAAATAATGAAACTGAGCATTTAAAAGACGCTATACATGAAAGTCCCCTTTCGTTGACTGGCATTATCAGACCTGCACATTAAAAGGCCCTGTTTGCGGTTGTATTTAAATTAATAAATACTTCAGGCAGTCTGAACAAAGAAGTCCAGTGAGCTGTATTGTGAGTGAGTAGATGCTGAGGAACGTTTTGGGTGAGCTACTCATTTAAGCAGCACATTCCTCTACAACATTGATAATAAATGAAATCCACTTTTGACATCACAGAAGAAAATCACAATTAAAAATGTAATTGTTCTCAATGTTACTGTTTTTACTGTATTTAACTGTGTCTGTCATGCAGGTGAACCCTCAGCTTTACAGCACCAGGGAGAAGCAGCAGCTCTATGATCTGATCGACACAATGATCAACTACAACCTGACCTACAGACAGGACCGAACGCCAGAGGGACAGTACACTTATGTGCTGGAGCCGTGAGTACATGCGCATACATGAGCAACATCATCTTGATCTGCAGAGTCATTCAACACAATGTTTTTATTTTGAGACAGAGAGCTTCATGCTTTCCTGTTATGCAACTCAGACTTCATTACAGGAATAAACTCCAACACTCGCACACACTGAGTCACACTATGTGTTCACCCGTCTATCACGATTTATGAGAGATTAGGCTGCGGCTGCAGATTATAGTCTCCCTCTCTTTCTCGTCTAATTTTTCTTTTATTTTCTGTCTGCTCTGGCATTTCTCTCTGTTGAGAACTTGGGGTTTTTGTGTTGCATGCCTTTGAAAGTCATGCATGGATTCACACGTTCATCACTCAAGCATATAAAAAAATCCTGCAATCCTCTCTGGCTTACTGAGACTGAGTCCTAGCACTCACACTGATTGATGAAGTGATGCTGAAAATGTTCACAATTGAGCCTTCAATGCCCACCGGTGGAGTTAAAGTCTGTTTGGTGGAACTGAAGATGGATGGAAACCAGGATTGAGGCGATAAAGGCAGAAACCATTTGTGTCGTTGGATGGGTTTTCAGACGATGAGCTCACACTGGAAGTGAGGAAGAGCATCATCACTTTACATCATGTATGTTTACCTCTTATTCATTTTTTTAGTTGAACCTTGCAATAAGGTTTCATTAATGTTGATGTGTTTACTAACATGCACAATATGTTTATTACAGTATTTATTCATCTTTGTTAATGTGAGTTATTGAATATAAAGTCATTTGTTAGTTCTTGTTAACTCGCAGTGCATTAGCTAATGTCAACAAGCATAGCATTGAATTTTTTTTAATGCAATAGAAGATGTTGAATTAATGCTGTACAATTATTATTTATTGTTGGTTCATCTTAGTAAATATATGAACTAATGGGACATTATTGTGAAGTGTAACCCATTTGTCTTGTTTTGTATAAAAGTTTTCCCATAAATGATCGTTAGTTTTAGATTTTCTCCAAAAAAAAATTAAGGTTAAGTACCTTATGCTTATAGGAAATACTGATATAATGTGCAGATATATATATATATATATATATATATATATATATATATATATATATATATATATATATATATATTATTATTTTTATTTTTGCTGATTTATTTCTTATTGATTTCATTTAAAATATATATTTATTTATTTATTTTTAAGTTTAAAATGTGTATTTTTGAATGTAACATTTTGTTTAAAAATTTAAAGCATTTATATATCAGATATATAGATATTTCACACATCTTTATTGCAATATTTGATCACTTTAATGCATTCTTGCCAACAAAGTATGCTTAGTAAAGATAAAATAATAACTTATTTATCTATGTTAATACATGCAGGTGAGAATTTATCTTATGTTTTTTATTTTTACAGATGTTATTTGAAACATTAAATACATTCTTAAAGGGTTAGTTCACCCAAAAATGAATGTTGTCATTAATTACTCACCCTCATGTCCTTTCAAACCCCTGAGCCCTTATTGTGTAATATATTAATAAATTTTAATATATAAAACAGTAATATAGTAATATATTTTAGATCAATCAGAGAGCTCCCTCATCCTCCATAGACTGCAATGGTCCCAAGTAGGCATGGCGTGATAACCGGTTTCAAGGTTTACCATGATTTGGAAAAGTCAAGGTTTGAAAACACACAAAATAGTTTGTACACTGTTTCTACAGTGTATTTAAGTTTTTACTGTGTTTTTACGACTTTTTTATTTAGTTTTTTAGGGCAACGGTTTCTTCGCATCAAAAGCTATTGGTCTGGCCACGATTCAGCTAACGTCTGAAAAACAAATCGCCTATAAATCAACATCCATGCATGCTATAGAGCTGAGCAGTGCAATGGCTTTATGTCCAAACAAAGAAAGATCTTCTAAGACATAAAGAAATAAGTGTTTTTGAAAACAGTGAAGACTGCTGACGTTTAGTCTGACGTTTACTGTTCCAAAATATTTAAAAATGTTTATTAAAATAAAACTTATTGTGTTCAAAGGGGAAAAAAAATTTGTTTTTACCCTGACATTTATAAACAGAACATATTTTACAGCAGTAATCACGATACAGTCAAACTGTGAAACCATGATATTTTTATCAAAGGTTATCATATTGTCAGAATCTTACACCAACCCATGCCTAGACCTGAGATGTTCAAAGTCAAGGAATGAAAGACATTCTCAAAACAGTTCATGTTACTTTAGTGGTTCAACTATATTATAATAAAACTCCCAAGAACAATTTATGTGCAAAAAATGTGTTGTTTAGATCAGGGTGTGCGTGTACTATGGGTGGTACAACATACTGTTATTAGACTCAGCAGTGCAACATGCAAACGTGGTATTGGCTGTAGCATGATATCATGCAAAACACATTGGCGAACACAATTGTTTATAATTGTTTTGACTAATCTTTTACTTTGCATTCATAATGTTTCCTGTGTGTACAAAATTATGTTTGCTGATATAACTCATTAATTAGTAATTTTTAAAACTTATTTAATTAAATATGCTAAATGTAATCGCATGCGAGTATTATTATCTGTAAAATTCCAATAGTTATTTTGTGATTATTATTTTGTTTTGCATGATGCCTTTTCAGAATCTGTTTTGTACTGATTCATTGAAACACAGTTCAAAGTTCTGCTTTTTGCAAACTAAAATCATCTTTTTATTATTTTTGTTAAGCTTGTCAATGTAGTGGATATTACATCCAATTAATTATTATATCATCTAGTCCTACTTTATCTAGATTAAATAAGGAAACACCAGAGTTTGTTTGTCATCCTTATGTTTGTTGTGTGTGTGTGTTGTTGCAGAGTCATGCAGCAGTCGTTCCTGCAGGCGCGCTGTGAGGAGACGCTGGTCACCTCTGATTGGGGGATTCCTCTGCTGGTTGCGCTGCTGTTGCTTCTGCTGGTTTATGCTTTCCTATATCTTCCCGCTGTTTCCTATCGAGCTCTACTCCAACAAGCGCTGGACAACCACACTGAAGCCATGACTGTGGATAACGACAAGATGCCCTGAAGATCACAGCTAAATGATGCACGATTATAGAAGCAAAATGCATTTTGATTGCATCATCCAGATATGAGGAGAAATGCCTCAAATGATGCTGTTTTTGTTCCTTAATGTCCTATTTTGAAAGTCAAGACTGTGATGTTCAATCATTTCCAGTACACAGCAAGCTTTTCCATATAAAAGTTTCTGTCTCTCTCTCCCTCTCTTTTTTTTTAACAACAAGCAGCATATGAGACATGATGAAGAAGAATTCACTTTGGAAATAAACTTTCATCACTGTCCTGCCCTCTCAAAGGAAGAATAGTATTGACTTTAACATGAAACGGCAGTAATATATGGAAAAAACCCCACACAGAATAATGAACTGCTCCACATTTCTTTGACAGAAAGTTCTCCAGCTGTTGTGGGGAAATGACTGTGTGTTTGACTCAACCAATCCCCGCATCAGGAGATTCATCTGCTTGTGTGTGTTGCACATATTGGTGCATTTCAGGTTTATTCCTGGAACAGTGTTTTGCCTTCTTAGTAAGAGGGATTATTTTACTCACCTGCTTTCAACTCTCATCTAATCTTCAGATTCTTCTCATTTGAGTCTCTTCTTTTAGATTCTCTTTGGCAATAATTCTATGGTGTTTTGTAAATGTTATTGGTATAATCATATAGGGCTGGGCGATATTGCAAAAATAATTATCACGATATCTTGTTTCATATCATTCAATATCGATAATTATTGAATATTTTTTATTACATTCAGCAATATTAGTATTTTTTTTGTTTATTTAACCTCTTTACTTTAATTTACCATCAGTACTGAGGCATTATTAGGCATGATTTGGTTTTAATAGTCAAAAACAAAAATATTTAAACAAAATATCTCTTAAACAAGTGTTAAAGAGGCTCTTAAACTTGATAAGTAAAATGTTACAAAGTGTGCAGTGGTAAAGTGTAAATACTGAACATTCAAAGCAAACTTTAAGGTTGATCAACATTTGTAAAATGTGAAAAATAATGACACAGTAAACCTCAAACTCTGTAAACAAAACAAATTATGATAATCAAATCTGAGCTTTCAAGTAAAGGAACCAACCATCATAATTTATACACATATTGCAGCATTACTAATGTGCTCACGCATTCAAAAAACTTAAGATGTTTTTCAACTAGCATCATGTGTGCGGTGCTTGCACAACATGTGCGCATCACTCCTATATGCGCATCGGGCAAGTCGCGCGACTCCATTGGAAATGTCAAACTTACACCCTAGGCTTATTGGCATTGCTTCCATGGTGCGCGCTTATCAGCCACATTTCAATACAACTAGAGCGCTTTATACCGAAACTTCATACCAGATTTTTTTTTAGCGATGATGACGATGTTTGGTCAATAAATATTGATACAGATTTTATCATCCAGCTCTATGATCATATTTTAATGTTTTTAGTTATTGAATGTACAAGAGGTACATTTCTGACCGGTATGTTTATTTTGGCAGTAATATTGAAGATGTGGTGAATTATCCTGGTTTACCTCCTCGGAGACAGTTAACCTATCAGGTGAAGCAGCTCATCGCCAGGGAGACGGAACTGGAGAGGATGAGGAGAGTAGAGAGAGCACAGCAGAGTCGAAACCCACAGAAAGTAAGAATTACACACACACACACACTCATAGAGAGAGAGAGAGAGAGAGAGAACATAGCATAATCGAAACTTACAGTAAGGCATGCGCACACACAAATAATTGCATTTACAAGCAGAACAATACTATAAAGTTGATACAATACTATAAAGCATCTGAAAAAAATCTGTATAAATGATTTTATATGATATAACATTATAATATGTATTTGTTTAATTAACATAGTACATAATGTAGTACTTAAGTTAAATAAGTAATATTAGATTTTAATAAATTATGAAGATGTTTTTAAAGCTTCAAGTCGCTATTAAACTGTAAAAAAAATAAAATGGTGCTAAAATGTCTATTATTTAGAGACAATTTATTATTTTTATTATATCAGTTTACATTGAGGTGGATTTGTTAATATTAGTTAACTACTTTAGTAATGTGTACAAGTGATGAAAAATACTCCTAAAGCATTCATTATTCTTAGTTAATCTTCATTTCGAGATGTAGTAATAACTGAATACTCTAATAAATTGAATTTCATTGTTTATGCATTAAAGTTAACTAATAGACATTATTGTAAAACTTAATGCTTTTGTACTGTAAAAGTCTACCATTTAAAACATAGTATCTGCTATATTAAATTATATGAGTGTCAATACATGGACATTTAAATGCTTTTAGATGAGAAAGAATATTTAATAGTTATTCTGAAATACAGAATTAAATGTTTCATAGGTTTTAGTCTATTTAATTTAGTTTGTTTTCTGAGGTTCTGTTTGTGCTTTTGTCTAAACAGAATTATCACTATCTCTAAGTTAATATTCGTCCTGTGTTTAGATGGAGACCGTAAATAAGAATCAAGAAGAAAAGAAAACAGAAGTGAAGAAACAGACAAGCAGGAACCATCAACAGAGGCTGGAGAACATCGTAAAACAGACTGTGGTGGAGACCAGGGTAAAACACTTATGTTAAACCATATTAAATCCTTTGGATCTGTCCTAAACGATCTCTGCAGCCCCAGAAATCCTCCCATTTTTAGGCTTTAATTACACTTGCCGGTTTTAATTCAGTTGTGCGTTTGCTCTTAGTGTGGTTCATTTGAATTCATCTGAATGCTGATATTCTAATATTTGTATACAACCAAACAACTGAACCCTATAAACATGGGCCTCTGTCCACTTCACAATGTTATCTAGTATGGTTTTAATCAACCATGGACATCTAAATTAAGTAAAGACGTCTAAAGTAATCAAAAACTGGATTTGACAATAAAAAAAAGCTCTGAATGGTACAAGCATACCTGATTTGCATGTCATGAATGCTATGTTGAGCATTGTGGCTGTCGGAAACCATTAGTTTTCCAGCAGATCTTCATTTTTTTGTGTGCAGTAGGGAAATTTCTGATGCTGTTTGGACTTCTTTTACATATTTTGTAAGATTGTATGAGCTCTCAACTGATAAAATTCACTTTTTCTGTATGCATATGCAACAAGCATCTTTAGCCGAGCAAACAGCATTGTTTTTTTGCTTTGTTTGTTTTTTGGTTGGTTGGTTGTTGTTTTTTTAAGTTTTATTAGCAAATATGCCATACCATTTTTTATGTATGTATCTTTAGGTTGGGTTCAAAAGGGGATCTATTATGCCCCTTTTTACAAGATGTAAAATAAGTCTCTGATAACCCTTGAGTGTGTGTATGTGAAGCTCAAAATAGCACACATGTAATGCTTTATAACTGCCCCTTTTATGCTTTGATTCAAAATGTTATTTTGACGACTGTCGCTTTAAATTTAAATGAGATTGTGCTCTTTTTCAAAAGAAGGCGGAGCTACAAATGCCTATGTGTCAGCATAGCTGCAAATTCAAAAACCAGACTAATGTCTTATGCTAATGAACGAGAGTTGATCACTAGTGGGCGGGGCTTTCCCCCACTGATGACATGTACAAAGGGTTTTTTTATTGAGTGTGATTACAAAAAAAAAATTGTACCAATAGAAGCTGGTTATATTCACACACTTCTGACACACTTTGCTTAAACCCCCTATAAAAGTGAGTTTTGCATCATAGGTCCCCTTTAAAAATGATAGTGTGAAGCTAAACAAATCAGGAATTGTTTTGTTATTTGGTCCACACTAGACAAACCAAAAAACAAACTGTGAACACAACTTTAAATTGTATTTAAGTCCAGTCCATCAAGTATTTCCATAGCAAATTCAGTGCTGAGATTGTGGATTTACAGCTTCACTCTGGCATTGTGTAACATTTGTCAGTTTTACATTTTTTGCAGACAAAGTTTGCAAATGTTGGCTTTAGATTATTGATTAAATTCAAGATGCCAAAAATGAACCTAATGCCCTTAAATAATTTAGTTTGTTCCTAATGTGAATAAAAAAACGCTGCTTTTGCATTGAACTTAGCAAATTGACCGCTTTATCCATTTTACACTGATTCTGTGCCACCATTTAATCTAATTGACCTCACGCTGACTCTGTTTACATATGCTTGACTTATGCTTCATAATAATCCAACATTAATTGGGTTAATAGTGGATCAGGGTCAAAGTGCTTTCACACGTGAATGCTTGCTTATTTATTCTTTTCACGTTAACAGCCCGAATTGGACTTTTTTGGACGAGCCATTGTACCCAAGGAGAAGCCTGTGGTCACTGCTACAAGTATGTTGATTTTTATATACACTCACCGGCCACTTTATTAGGTACACCTGTCCATCTGCTCGTTATAATATCTAATATCTCAGCGCAATATCTAATCAGCCAGTCACATGGCAGCAACTCAATGATATTTCTGCATGTGGACATGATCAAGACGATCTGCTGCAGTTTAAACCAAGCATCAGAAAGGTGATATAAGTGACTGAACGTGGCATGGTTGTTTGTGTCAGACTGGCTGGTCTGAGTATTTCAGAAACTGCAGATCTACTGGGATTTTCATGCACAACCATCTCTATAGTTTACAGAGAATTGTCAGAAAAAGAGAAAATATCCATTGAGTGGCAGTTCTGTGGGCGCAAATGCCTTGTTAATGCCAGCGGTCAGAGGAGAATGGTCAGACTGGTTCTAGCAAATAGAAAGGCAACAGTAACTCAAATAAGCACTCGTTACAGCTGAGGTATGCAGAAGAGCATCTCTGAACAGACAACACATCACACCTTGAGGCAGATGGGCTACAGCTGCAGAAGACCTGCTGGGTGCCACTCCCGTCAGCTAAGAAGGTAACTGTGCCTACAGTTCCCACAGGCTCACCAAAATTGGAAAATAGAAGATTGGAAAAACGTTGCCTGGTCTGAAGAGTCTTGATTTCTGCTGCGACATTCGGATGGTAGGGTCAGAATTTGGCATCAACAACATGAAAACATTGGTCCATCGTGCCTTGTATCAATGGTTTAGGCTGGTGGTGGTGGTTTAATGGTGAGGCGGATATTTTCTTGGCTTACATTGGGCCCATTAGTACCAATTGAGCATCGTGTCAACGCCCTAGCCTACCTGAGTATTGTTGCTCGCCATGTCAACCCTTTATGACCACAGTGTACCCATCTTCTGATGGCTACTACAGCAGAATAACGCACCATGTCATAAAGCATGAATCATCTCAGACTGGTTACTTGAACATGAAAATGAATTTACTGTACTCAAATGGCCTCCACAGTCACCAGAACTAAATCCAATAGAGCACCTTTGGGATGTGGTGGAACGGGAGATTTGCATCATGAATATGCAGCCGATAAATCTACATCAACTGCATGATGCTATCATGTCAACATGGACCAAAATCTCTAAGGAATATTTCCAGTACCTTGTTGAAACTATGCCACGAAGGATTACGACAGTTCTGAAGGCAAAAGAGGGACTTACCCTGGTACTAGTAAGGTGTACCTAATAAAGTGGCTGGTGGGTGTGCATGTATACTTTACCGTACAGTAAATGGCAGTATGTTTGTTCAGTATAATGCTAATTATGAGCTGATGTGGTTTCTCTCTGCAGGTGAAGATGGCAAAGTGAGTGGCGTGCTGAACATTGGTAAAGCTGTGGGAAACAGCGACGTCTGGTTTCGTTTTAATGAAGGTGTGTCCAATGCAGTGCGCAGAAACGTTTACATTCGAGAGTTGCTGTAAACTGATCTGGAGAAAGGATGAAGTACATGTCAAATCAATCTGTAAAAATCTAAAATGTTCGGAATAGTTAAACAAAACAGTCATCTAAATTGTTTGAAAAAGAAAAAAAAAACACTGGTTCCTCATTTTCTTTTTATTGTGCTGTTGTATAGTTGTCTTACACTTTTATAAATACATGTTTTCACATTTGCTTTCTTTCTTATTATCATGAGAGTAAACAACAAAGCAGATTCACTGACAATGAGTTCATTTGCATCTATTCAAAGTCAGCCTGTGTAAGAGGGCGGAGCCACTTCTGCTGCCATAGGGATGATTGACAGCTCTTGTGCTAGAGTATTACACATTTGCTCGACTCCACCCACGGGTTGTCCTTCATGGCATCTGGATTCACAAATGGATCCTCGGTCATTTTCTCCTCCATCCATTTAATTAACCTGAAAATAAATGCATTAGTGGAACAACTAAAAAATGCGCTACTAAGCTTTAATCTATCAGTAATCTATCTTTATATATTTTAATTGCTTTACTAAACTTTGGACTTCAAAATCTGATTTGATTGTTATATGGATTTGTTTGAACATTGTGATAATTTGTTTTTAGTAATTATTATTATTTTATTTAATTATACATATAAATACTTATAAATATCGACTGACAGAAATGATTTAAATACAGCTACTATTTATACATGCAGTTTTGTGTGTGTGAGACTCACTCTGGAACAGAGACGGATGTGTTGACTCTGTTATACTTGAGCTGTTGCTTCAGGCTTTCCACATGATTCTTCAGCTGATCTTCATCCAGCTCATCCATCTAAATCACCAGCCGTCATTTTATTCTTATTTCAACATCTCAAAGCTAAATTATCTATAAATAATAGCTAGAATATAATTAATCAATCACAATTGATCTATAAAATATCTGTATAATTTCAGCCTACCGTGAATTCGGAGTTGTGTCGCTCAGAAATGAAGTGTCTGTATTGTTAATAGCTCCTGTGTGAATAGCTTGAGTGCGTTATGCCACTTGTGCACACAGAGATTTAAACACACACCTGACACTGAGGTTTAGGAGCATTCAAACTGCTTTGTTACTCAAATTTTCAGTCGACATCATAAGATGTAATAGGAGAGATGAGTAGCTCGCCGGCCTCATTGCACGTCTATGTAAAACACATGCAAATTAAATGTTAATAATGCTTTTTGGCCTCACCTAGTCTTTGCCAGGGAGAATCGGTTTAAGAGTAAATGCTGCAGACTACTGTTGAGACTGCTTTAAGATACACAACTTACTTGAAAACTTCTATATATGCTCTTTCAGTCAAAGTCATCGTCTGTGTATATGATGATGTCATTCTAAAATGCGGAAGTGCGCCTGTTTTCGCGATTGTTTTAGAACTTCCGATTGAGTCGCCTATGAGAGAAATGACTAGGAATAATAAACGGCAGAAAACGGCCAAACTAATTGCTCTACAAACAAATGTTTGCATTACTATACAGACCAAGTAGAATAATATAATAAGAAAATATCAGTTTGCGACATCAAGCAGCGTAACGAGCAGTTTTTAACCTCTAAAAATAAATGGAAGTGAATGAGACCGGAAGTCTTCAGCCAAAAAGATTCAAATGGCTGCGCCCGCTTGTCGGCAAAGAATAAGGTGAATACAGCAGGGGAGATAAGTATTGAACATGTCATGTTTTTTTCCTTTAAATAATATTTCTGAAGAAGCTGTTGACTGAACCAGATCAAACAATACAAACATAACAATAAAATAAAACATAAAAATCTGAACAATGAGTTCTGTGTAATAACAATGACAGAAGGAGAAAATGCTGAACTACTGAAATGTATTTAATACTTCATATAAAAACTTCAACGGAGTGTAAAAATCTTTATTGTTCTGTGGGTCTCGTCTATCAAATCTGATATTTATGTTGTATTTTCAATTGGATTCGAGTCAGGTGATTGGCTGAACCATTCTACAGCTTGATTTTTCTTTCTCTGAAAGCATTAGAGAGTTTCTTTGGCTGTGTTTTGGATCATTCAGGGTGTCCATGGCGTCTTAAAAATTATTGAAAATTGATACATCAATTTAGAGGAATTTAAGGCCCTTAAAAAGTATCAAAGGCTATTTTACAAGGCATTAAATTTGGTATCGGTTTGCTAAATTTTACCAGAATTAAATCATTGAATATTGGGATGTTGTGCAGTTTATCAAATAAAAAAAATCCTGTTAGATTTAGCATCACGCTGCTTTGTTTATTGCAGTAACCAGGGAAACACTGTTTTTCCTGCCGCTGTAAAAGCGCCACCTGCTGGATTAACATTTTTAATCTGTTTATAAATACAGTTTTAGTTTAGGATTCATTTCTTCCAATCAGTGTTTAGTAAATATGCTGCAAGTTAAAATGTCTACATTGTTACTGGTTGGAAACCTGAATTGGTGATGAGATCTTAAATTGTATGCATAGAGTCTTATAAAAAGTCTTAAAAGGTATTGAATTTTAATCTCCGATTCCTGTATACCATCATTGTCTTGCTGAAATTTTTACCCTTGGTTTATCTTCATCATCCTGATAATGATGTTGCACTAAAGCAGCGAAAATGTATTTGCACTAAGGAAAAGCAGAGGGTTGCAGAAAAACTGCTGAGATTTCAGCTGCTGTCTGGGCTTTCACTGCCTTTCTAAACCTCCCTTTCTTCATGTGTTCAATACTTTTTCCCTGGTGTCTGTTCATTTTATTACACAAAACTTCATTTGTAAACTAATTAGATTTGTTTTCTTTGCATATTTAGATTTCTTTGGTTGTTATCCACATTTAGTATAAATTTGAAGTCAACAGCACCTTTAGAAATAGGTTTTTTGAAAAAAATGGTGTTGTGTTCAATACTTATTTTCCCTGCTGTATATTATAGTTCATCTGGTATTATATATTAAAGTATAATACATTATTTTTAATTAGGATTGATAATATTTTCTATATTTATATTATCTATATTCGTATTACATGTCTGCCTAAACAACTAGCGACAATCATTTCTTCTTGCAGAAACAATTCCTGGTGACTTTAACCTTTGCTATTTGGTTAAAAGTGAAGTCACTTGTCTGTTAATGAGATTAGGAAGTGCTACGAGTGAGCAGTGTTGTTTGTTGCTAAGTCTGTCTAAACCCTGCCCCTTAAGCTACTTATAGTAACACAGCAAATATATCTTTGAGTCGTGCGTGCACTTAGGAGGAAAAGAGAGGCTTAATGTGATCATGCAGACAGCAATGAATTGTGGGAGGATGGAGATCATCTTTTATTCAGAGTTAGATCAATAAACATTTTGGGTACTTGGTATTGGGTAAAACTGGAAGTGTACAAATCCCTTTTTAAAGAAACTGCGTTACAAATTAAAAACACAATCTTGTTGCATCGTAAGCTTGACCTCTGGATGGTCTTACAGTTAAATGTAGATATAATTATCATACAATTCCTATTCAGCTTCAAATCAGATGATGTATTCATTTCACTGTTAATCAGTTGCCTGAACTTGACAAGTCAAGCACAGATTCTGTCATGGTTTGCTGCCAAATGTGTCCAGAACTTCTAAAATTCCACAAGAATACTGAGAGGCCAGTGGATCAACATCATGCATAGCTTATATTTGGCTTGTATATATAAAAAAATAAATAAATGAATGCATGCTAGGAATGCATTACCTTGGAATTGAACCCATGACCTTGCTTGTATTAGCTCCATTCCCTACTGTTGCAAACCGATCATTAGCCAATATCCATGTCCATTAAAATCAAGAAGTGTTGGTTTCCAATGACTCAATCTAAAACACACCAGTAGCAGCGTGAAAACTGGCTATAATAATGGTGGGAATTACATTTACGCCTAATTTTCTGCAAGTAATAAATTGTTCAGCATGTATCAGCCATAAGGCACCCAGCTGGTTCAGTCTCGGACATTGCAGGACCCACATCAGTCGACCACTACTCAACTCCCACGTTTAAGTCACAAGTAACTGTTAGATGCTCTTCTGACTGATTTTATCCACCCTTCCCAAAACGGTCGCTCCGGCAGCATTTTCCACCCCTCGCAACCATTCCGAACACTTCAGAAGGATGCTCTGATCCACACCTTGCTCTTCATCTTCCTCATACTCCACGTCGTCGTATCGGTGACGCTCGTTGAGAAGAGAGATCTTCACCAATGGGATATTGGATCGAAAACTTGTCTTGGCCGCCAGACGGTCTTTAGGTTGCAGGGATGTTGAGTTGTTTCGACTTGCGCGGAGCTGCTTCTCACGGTTGCGTCTCTGCAGGAGCAAAGTGGCCTCGGGAGTTAAGTTGAGAGAGAAGTTTGATTCGCTATTCAATCCGTGGCTTGATCCGGAGGAGGCTGGAGGACTGGAAGGCTCCATTGGGATGCTTGTTGCTGAAACGCTAATAGGAAGCCTTTTCTTGCTTGAGGTGTTGGTTGTAGAGATCGGGATGCCTGAAGTACTTTTAGAGGAACTTGTTGGACCTGCAGGTCTTGAAGGCAAAACCCACGTATTCCTTCCCTCCATCCTTAATCCTGAGGTGGCTCGACTGGTGGGCAGCTTGCTTTTATGCGGCGTGGCCTTCTTGCTCAACTTTTTAAGCCGCTCCTTCACAGAACTTTTCTCTTCTGTGGTTGTAACCAGAATGACAGGAGACGGTCCTGGAAGTTTTTCTTTGCTGGAGTTGGGTAGACTCCGAGGTCTGGTTACAGGTGGGAAAGGCATCTTGGAGATGTAGAGGAACAAGTAGGACAGGAATTCAGTCTTGGAGGTGCAGTGCGGCAGGAAGGGGATGTGGTCTTTGGCATGATCAAGACAGCTATTTGTTTTCAGAGTTCCGAACATCCACTTCTTTCTTCAGACGCAGTCACTCTGGAAATGGCACGCGGGAATGGTTTGGCTCTTTATAGGATGCCGGGGCTTTAAAGGGGCTTGGCTGAGGAACGATGTGCGAATCCTCTGGCCTAGGTAAGCCTGACACGTGGAGATTAAGGGTTGCATAATGAACAGTGATGCAAACCACCGTAGTGAAAGTTTACATCCTTGCTTACCTGTGGGATTTTAAAAGTAGTTGTGCATACGAGACTAGGCTAAGATATCTAACAGATTTAACATGGGTTAAATTCAACTCAGCAGATTTGGTGTTCAAAAGTGTTAGTTGGAAATGTAGTTCCATTGCATAGGTGTCAAAGTCAATTCCTGCTGGGCTGCTGCTCTGCACAGTTTCTGCACACCCTAATCAAACACAGCTGATCCTCATAATTGAGGTGTTCAATAGAATCTTGAACACCTTGGTTAGGGGGAATAGATGTGTTTGATTAGGGTTGAATCAAAACTGCAGAGCTGCGGTCCTCCAGGAACTGATTTTGACACCTGTGTTCCAAAGCATCAGTCTGTTTATAATTGACTAAAGGGTATTTGCTGTTTAGTGTACATTGAAGTTTTATATTGTATGGTAGTCCGTTTCAGTGCCAGTCAAGTATCTGATCAACACGTGTCTAATCGTTTTCCCAATTAAAGGATCTACTGGACCTAATCTTTTTAAGAAGGTCACGTTATCTCTTTCACACACAGTCTGTAAGTTTTCATTTACTTCTGGCAGGAGGTAATCATTCACAACCTAAATATAACAGCTCATTACTGAGGTTAGGCCAAGACCTAAAAGCTTCTGTCAGGGAGAAGAGATATTTGACATCATTTGATTAGTTTTTATTAGATCTTAATTTTTTTTAATGCATCTTCTCTTTATTTCTGTCAACCACACTAAAACTGCTTTTTAGTCACTTGCATGTTGTTGTATAGACTCTAACAGTGTAGCTGTACTTTACCCTGAGAGCTTTCAGTTTTTATGATATTAAGAGTTTAGTGAGACTGTTCTTAAAGGTTCCATGTAATTAAAATACGTTTTTTCACATATGTTAGTATCAGTATTCTTAATTTTTAGGATATCTATAAGCTAGTGTGCACCAAAACAGTGACAATTTAAGATTCAAAGATATAAAGCTGATATAAACATGTGAAGCTTGTAGTTTGTCACTTCAGCCTAAATGGATCAACTGTTTTATTCACGTCACCTCATACTTCAGTTCTCATCGAATCATGACCAATCAAATGCTCTCTAGTATCTGACATGCCCCACCCCCTTATTTTTGACGTGCTCGAGTTCAATCACTCACTGGCAGAGTGATGATAAAACAAAATGCTATTGGCTGTTATTTAAAAAAGGGGAGGAGCTACTCTGTCTCACCCTCTTTTTGTGTTTCGGTTGAAATTAAATCAAACATTGAATAAAAATGCATATTATAAGCACTTCACAGGACCTTTAAGAGTGAAACAATAAGAAACACCTGGGCTAGCTAATCAAGCTCTTACTAGGCTTTCTAGAAACATCCATGCAGGTGTAAGGCAAGTTGGAGCTGAAATCTGCACGACACCTGCCCTCCAGGTCTGAGTTTGGACACCCCTGGTGTAGGTCATGGGTCTCAAACTCCAACCTTAATGAAACAAGTAATCGAGTAGTTCCAAAGAGTCTCGAATATCTTGATTAGTTGCATCAACTGTGTTTGATTAAGGTTGAAGCTAAGTTGTGCAGAGCTCAGAAATTGGCCCTCAGGAGCAGCCCTCTGGGAATTGAGTTTGAGACCCATGGTGTAGATGCCAGCATATTGCCCAAGTAGTTTTCGGACATCTTTTAAAGACTGCTTTTAATGCTGCATTTTTTGGGGGGGACAATGTGTTTAACTGATCCTGATTAACATCCGTTTGTCATGTAAATGCAATGGCTTTCTTCGTGAGGGGGTTTGGGGTCACCACAGCATTGTTTCCAGATACGCTGTTATGTTATGACAGCTGTTAAAGGGATAAATTAGCCAAAAATTACAGTTGTCATCATTTACTCTCCCTTGTTTAAAACCTTTAAGTTTCTTTCTTCTGTTGAACACAAGAAACCTGTAACCACTGACTTCCACATTTTTTATTTTTCCTACTATAGAAGTCAATGGTTACAGGTTTCCAGATGTATTTAAAATATCTTCTTAGGTGTTTAACAGAAGGAAGGATTTGAATCATTTAAGGGTGAGTAAATATTTATTTTGGGTGAACTATCCCTTTACAGAAAGAGAAACAAGTCTCTGTTAGCAGACATGAGGAAAAGTACAACTTTTCCTGACAGGATCTTTCAGCATTGTTGACTAGTGTGGGCTGCTGTATATTCTGATATTAGTATTTTTTGCAAGACCTACATGTTGCAAATATTTTCAGAATACACATTTCCTCTCTGCTCTCTTTGAAATCACAGGTCAGAATAGTAACTAGCAAAGGGATTTAGTTTGTACACAGTTGTGTGGGTTAATCAGGCATGATTAGCCTAAGCAACAAAGACAGTGAGTGCTGAGTCTGTGCCAAGGATATTTTTGTAAATGAAAACGAAGATGTATATTTATATATAAAACAAATCCACTAAATCGAACAAAACCACTAACATAACTAAATGTAAAACTAGTATCAAAATAAAAACATTTTAAAAAGCAAAACTATAATAAGCTCAGTCTGTGCCTAAACATATAGGGAACAGTTTCCTCTTAAATGTCATTTTAAACAAAACGTCGTCAGCATTCTCCAAATGATGGAGATAACAGTCTAATCAGACCTGCAATTTGTTTTTGGTGTTGGTATGAGGTGGTGTAGAAGCTTAGCCTCGGACAGCACTTTGAAGCAGTGGCTCCCTCTTGTGGACATGAGTGATGTGTGCAATTCATTCTTTCAACATTAGACGGAAGAATATCACATTGTGAACAGCAACAGTGGCTGACCAACCATACATTCACCAATGCATCTTATTTTGGAGAACTTAAGTTGTAAATATTGAAACAACCTGCTGCACTCAAGATTGCTCAAACTGGAAACATCTATACAAAGTCGACTTACTGCTGTACTTTTTGTAAGTGCTTTACTGTCAATATTTTCATTTCTGTGTAATACAACTTTCAGTTATTATTAAAGTGACACATTTACATTTCAAACAAATTAACAGCAAACCCCCACATCAAAGTTCCTCTTTCTGTGCAGCTTTCTGGTCTTCTAGATATTTCTTTCTCCGCTGCTCCTCCTGCAACACACACACACACACACACACACACACACACACACACACACACACACACACACACACACACACACAAACACAAACACAAACACACACACAAACACACACACACACACACACACACACACACACACACACACACAGAGGACTGTGAGTCTGCACAGTGATAATGTATGTATTATATAATCTAATGGGAGATACCTTGGCTTTATCTGTCTTGGCTTTTTCAATCTCTATTTTCATGAATGTTACTATAGGCTTCAGCTTCCTCTTGCCAGAATAGGGTATCACCTGGAAAATAGGTTTAGTATGATTATTTCAAAATACAACACAATTTATTAACCTGTGTCAAAAAAAACAAACAAAAAAAACCCAGCCTTTCTGCAAGGTCTCAAAAAGTCTTAAGATGTCTTAAATCTCAAAATCTAATTGTTAGGGCCTTAAAAAGTCTTACATTTACTGAAATATTGTGTTGTAGGTCTTAAATCTTCTTTAAACAGGTCTTAATTTTCCTTTGTTTAAGTATTGCCACCAAATTTGGCCAAAACCCAAACAATCACCAACAATCATCTCAATAAAACTTTAACTTTTTTATTTAAAAAGGTAATTTTTTAACTTTATTTATCATAATGATTTAATTTTTTTCCTTGCAATAATATTTGTTTAAAGGTTCTCTATGTATTTTCTGCTGAGGACGCTGACCTGGACAGATTGCTGTGCATATATTTAGTTTTTTAAAAACGTTTAAAACATTTGTTCATTTTTCTTTTATTTTAAAGGAAGTTTATGGTGTAAAATAAGTGTATGGATGCAACTAGAGTTTGCTTGTTTTTACACAATATTTAAAATATTTTGCTAAAAAATAAAAATGTTAAATATTTAAATTGTTTATTATTAAAGTATTATTGTATTATTTAATTATATATATTTTGTTTGATAGGGCAAATAAAAATATTTTCCATCTGGGCCATTTGAAAAATGCTTTAGCCTTTAACCCTTAATGGGTCTAAAATTCCATTCATAATGGTCTTAAAAAGTCTTAAATTTAACTTGGTGAAACCTGCAGAAACCCTGAATAAAATCACTTTAAAGTGGACAAAAAGGTCTGTCACAAAACATCATAAAAAAAAAAAATATTATAATCTTTATTTCAACTTTAGCTGACACAATTTTTTTCTCCAGCATCGGTTCTAATTATAATTATTATATATTTTTTTATTTTAAATATATACTTTATTGCACAGACAGGTCAAATATAAAACACACAACAGAAAAACAACACTTCAAACTAGAACTATCGAACATTACGTACAAACACACACACACACACAAACCGCTCGGTAGAAATGACAAATCTATACAGACCCTTTTAAATGTATAAAAAAATAAACAAATGAAATTAAATATAAAAGTATATAGTCCATAAATATAAGGGGGGGAAAAAGAGAGAGGAAATGACACAATCTACATTGTAAAAAGCGCTATATAAATAAACATGAATTGAATTGAAATAAAGAATAAAGACAAGTTTACCTCTGACAATCTCAGTCAGAATCTAATGAGGTCAAAAAAAGTTTGAATGGGGTTCCAAGTTTGATAGAATTTGTCAGTAGAGCCCTGAATGAAATCCTTCACCTTTTCTAGACAAAGAAATCACGTAAGATCTATTAACCTGCTATTGAAAGGGGAAGGTGTTGGACACTTCCAAAGAAACAAAATGTATCTTCTCGCAACCGGTGAA